CTTTGTTGACTAAGTTGTAACCTGTACTATTTGATACTGAAAAAGGATATTTATGTTTTCTAATTGTCCTAAATATTCGCTGGTATTGCCATTTGTTGATTCTGCTGCTCTTCTATGGTTAAAAATAAAATAGAATATCATCGAAGCTTCTATCAAGTCATTCAGCTGACATATCTAATTAAATGTGGAGGTATTCATGGAGAAAACGGAGAAATCCTTTGTTTTGCAAGTTCGGGATTTGCACTTCTCCAAATTTATAGCAGGCTGTCTTAAAACTATACACTAAAAAGTAGATATTAGCAGAAATAACACAACAATGTATTACATTCAGTAAAATTGCTTTGATCATGGTATGCAATATGAATAGCTTCCAAAATATGCAAATAAAAAGAGCATTATCAGGAGAGATGTGTGCAAAATCTTTGAATTTTCAAGCAGGTTTCTGTAACATATGGAAATGAACAAATAGGCTCAATAGACTGGAAAAGATGAAAGTAAATAGAACCAAAACTAAGAGATCTGTCTATCCTTAGAAATTATGCAGAAAATGAATTATTTTATTTCTGCTCCACTTATCTAAGGCTACTGTTAAAGGTATAAGGCTAAAAAGATTGGAATTCTGTTTTGAACTCTTTCATGGACATTTCTAATTGCTCAAAAAAAATCAGTAATGACAACTAGTTTCTCTGAAAAGTGAACTACTTTTAAAATTTTACTACTTTTATTTAAACATTTGAAACAGAATACAAATGTATTTTTTCACCATCTATTCCCAGATCTACACCCCCTACTCTTCCATTACTTACACGGCATTACAAAAATACAGCACTGTCAATCCTATTACTTCCACAATTTTCTAATTTTATTCATTACATAAAATTATTGTAATGTACTCATAAATTACTCAACCACAGTATTTCTTGGATGTTTGGTGGCTTAAATTTGCCATTGCTTTTTATAGATGAAACTAAGAAACAAGAAAATACATTTTCCATCAATTGACCTTTTGCTAATCTTAATTTATAGCTTAACTTTTCCAACAGAACTACCATCCATATCCTGGTTAAACAGGACTTGAAAGTTGAACTACTTACCATCACTATAATCCCACTTTGTAATGCAAAATTGGAGTGTTGGATATGGTTTAGGGGATATTGTAGTATTGGTTCTGTCAAATTGATTCTGGACGGTGTCTTGCCATAGTCTTTGAGAGCACCATGCAGAAGAGCCATTTCAAAACTGGCTTATTGAAAAGGAATTCTTCCATTTTGATATTTCAGTTGTCAGAGCTGCCTTACAAGTTTTCTTTCTACAAGGCAGGCCTTATGCATATGTGTAATTCTAAGTGAATTATGGGCACACTGAGTGTGCTTTCATGAAGAGATTCTTATACGGCACCATTGCTGTGCTATTTTTTTTAAATAAAGGAAACACTGTCAAGAAGCATTTTGCTGACTCAAAATGGCTAACAGGGAAAGCAGTTTGGAACCTACAAGCTTGCTTTGTTTCTTAATATCAGATCTATATTGTCCTTTTTTTCTATCTGCCAACACCAAGGGGTCAATTGGGCTACTTTATTTATGGATCATTTTGAATTGTTATTGCACAACATTCCAGTGCTTAGTTTCCAAATAATCTTATGAAGAGTTATTAGAAATGATGAATATACTGCAAGAGGCCAAGCAAATGTTATTGTAACACTACATAAATAAGATTTTATTTGCATGCTAAACATTAACATGCCTGATTGCCTGATTCTGTCTTTTTACTGGTATATAGCTACTCAATTCAGCATGTATCAGATGAACACCAACATACCATTACTACAGCTAATGAGAGGATTCATACAATAGTGAAGGTGAGGACAGAGGAATGATGTTTGAAAAGCAATATAAATACAGAAGACATATTTTGGAATTGGCTGGGTTACACTACATTACATCTTGGGTCCAGGTTATTTATAGGACCATATCCCCCTTTATGAGCCTCATAAAGGGGGATATGGTCCTATAAATAACCTGGACCCTTTTGGAGAGGTCTTTCTTTTTGTTCCACAACCTTTTTGGCCTTGTCTGGTGGAAGCAAGGAAGCAGGCCTTCTTGGTAGCTGCTTCTGTTCTTTGGAACTCTGTCCCTAGAAAGGCTAGGATGGCTAGGTCTATTTTTAAATTTGCATTATTTTAAATATGTTGTAAACCACCTTGAGTCCCATTTCTAGGAGAAAGGTGGAATAATTGATGATGATGGTAATAATAATAATAATTCATTTTCAAAAATAGGCACATCATTCTGGAAAATGGTAATGGACGTCTTTTAACAAGCGGAAAAGTGCCATGAACTTGGAAATGTCTTATAAATACAGCAGACTCTCTGAGCCATTTTCAACAATCTTTTCTTCTGGAGAATGCCCGGGAATGAAATACACTTCCTCTCACTTCTGTTTGCCTGCTCAACAACTGAACAATAGGATGTTCATATTTAGGAAATGATTTTGCATTTATACTTCCAATTCTAGTGGTACTCTTAAAGATCAAGGCAGATATATATATCTCACATCCAATAATCTATATTACATCCAATAAAAACAACAATTGAAAACAGAAAATCAAAGGCAGTCCAAACACGGTGATGGTGCAGAAAATGACAACGTTTTCACATGTATTTATTGAGAAATAGTAAAGATATACACATTTTTACAAGCTTTCAATATTAATTTACATTTTCTTAAATAACTTTATCCCCAAATAAATCATGACTTACATTACATAGACCCTTGGCTTCAACAGTTCCACAAGGCTGCTAATGCTGGGAGTTCAAATGTCATAATGGCTCATGTCGGTTAAGTTTATCTCTAAAGACACTAAATATCACATGTAATCAAGCATCTAGACATGGATCCAAAATGCCCCCCCCCCCCAAAAAAACCCTGAAATGAAACTGAAATCTAATCCTGTAATGGGTATGACATTATAGTAGCTCAATATATGGAAAGATTTAGATTAGGTTCTACTGCATCTGAAACATTTAGTTTAATATTTGACTTTAGACACCACTTCTTTAAATGCAGAGACATTTACTATAATTTGCAAATATACTGTTTGACTTCTTTCACTACGCTCAGGTTGCTTCCTGGTTTATACTGGAGAACATTGAGGGCAATCCCCCCCCCCCCCCCCCCCCCCCCACACACACACACACTGTGTCAGAGCATTCAGAGCATAAGCAGCTAGTTTTGTGTGGTCCTTGGAAGCAGTGGGCCATATATGGGCTTCTCATAGTAGGCAATGGATGGTGCATTAGGATGCCTATATTTATTAGCCAAGGGCTTGATAGGACAGACGGGAGAAGTGCTCACTGAGCTCTAAGGGGATAATTGTGCTCTATATATTATGTGCACAATCAATATATTGAATTTTTTCACTTTAGTGGTTTATCAAGTCTAACCTCCCCTTATTTCCATATATTTACATCAAATCAAACTGTGCTGGATTTCCATAGCTCAAGCACAACACTCAAAAGTGCTTAATATTTATGTGCTGTTTCCATTTATATTGGTACAGCAACTACAAAGGCACACATTTTACTATCTTAATTGCACAAACTTTTAGCACATGGAATTTTTTTTGTTATTGTTGTTACTTTTCTGTGCAGTGGGATAGGAATCAAAGGAGAGAGGGTTTCAGCAATTTTCTTCCTGCTGTGAGAAGGTATTTGAAAGCCATGTAGTTTTCAAAGGCTATCTGCAGTTCAGGATTTATTCTACACTAAATTTCTATGTATCTGTTTTGATCAGTAAACAGCATTTTCTTCATGAAAATGCAGAAATATTCATTCTTGCAGGAAGAAACCACTACTTTCTGCTGAGTGTTTTTTATATATATAAAGCAAACCATGAACAAATTTTATGCAGAAGTAATTTTTCTGTGCAGAAAATACTATTTTAATGCAGAAATATTAATTCTCGTACTGCAAAACCTGTTGTACACACAAAAATGGTTTCTAAGCAAATCAACTATGTGTCTCTTTTATGCAGAATATACCCCAATTATAACTTTGTCTATGGTATTTCAACAGAGAAATATTAATTCCTGCACAGAAAATGCTGTCTTTTGTGCAAATCAACCATGTATTCAATTTTACGCAGAGGAAGTCCCAAACTACAGAAGTTCTCACCAGTCCAAGATTCTTCTTGCTTGTGTTTCATGCCATTGCTCTCAACTTTACTTTCAGTAATCTTATTATTTTGAATCTCCCTCCTAAAATTCCTATAGATTTTGTATTAAATTTTACTTTAGGCTAAATTCAGTAACAGTATCTTGATTTTTCATAGAGACATAGTTTTACAATTAAGTTTCTTTCTGCCTCTAGAGTTTTGTTTTCTTGATATTCTCCATGTGGTATGAAGGTTTTTTATTTTTTTATTTTTTGTGAACTGAAACTGAAATATTAATAGAACAATCTGTAGAAGGGTCAATGATGGACAATGCCTCTCTTTAGATCTCATCACTCTGTCAACCATATATTACCACCTTATATAATTGAAATAAAATGTGCCATGATGACATTACATGGTTTTATCAAAACAGGGTGAATTTTAATTCTATGTATGTAATTGGAACATTTTTTTCAAAAAAGTAAGCTCTTTTAAACAATCTACATTTACAGCCAAATTTGACAAAGTTTGAGTCTTTTATATATCATTCAAGTACTTTAAAAAAAAGAAAACTCTGAAAACAACAGTGTACAAGTATAAATAGCTGGAAGACGTCACCTAAAATATTTCATTCTTATTTAGAATAAACTTAATAGATACAACAGGGAGATAAGAATTGTGCGCAATGGGATTCTTTTTTAAAAACTTACCTAAAACAATGTGGCAATTCCTTTTTAGTACTATGTTTAGTTGTCAACAAGGCCAATCAAATCAAATTGAAACTAGCATGAATAAAGTGAGGGACTGATCCAAAGAACAGATTATTTTATAACTTTGTTAAAAAAAACTCTGTATTTGGAGTGTTTATTGAAGTTTTGCTGTATAAACACAATGAATTCACCCACATAAGAGGAACACAAAGATTCTCTCTTGAATTTGTGTGAATTTTCTGAATGCAGAACAGAAGAGAAAGGAAAAATATAGTTTGCAGTTCTACGCAGACTTTCCTGTTAGTTACAGTGAAACTTCCTAATAAACATGCAGAGATTTCACTGTACAATATTGCAGTCAGTGTAGGTTGTACAATCACAATGAATCACAATTGAATTTAGTCACCTCCAAGCTCTTTTGCTATATCTTAGGGAAAAGGGGAAGCAATTAACACTTCAGTAATGGTAATATTTTGCAAATTACAAACTGGGCAATGTGAAAGGTTATATTCCGCAGTACATTTTGAACTGGCTATCATGTAATACAAAATTCTACATGCACAGTTTTATCTCTGAAGAAGTGCCATTTCTTCAATTAACCACAAAAAGCATACTTGTCCACTGCATGATGGGACTGCATACATCTCAACAGATACCAGAAATAACTCTGCAGGTCTGGGACCTAATGTCTAAGCTGCTAAAAATGAGAAAGACAAACTTGTCCAATCCTAAAATGGAGATTCTAGTTTTTAAAATTGCACTTTTAATGTTAAGCATTGCAAGGATAAGGGATTGGCTGCAAACTATTTAAAAGGTGATTATCTGCTTCTAGAGGTGCCAAACAGAAAGATAATTCAGCATTTTTGATGGAGAAAAGAGGTGGGCCAGAGCAGTCTGGGACTTAGAAACAGACTTGGACAGCTACATGTTGACTTCCTTGCACTTTGCTCTCTCCTGCAATATGCTACTGGAAATAATTACTTGTATCAGAAATTGTGGGGAAAAGCTCTCTGAACAAGGAGCCATAAAAGCAGCCTCATGCACTCCCCTAACCATCAGATCTTCAACTAAGTATGCAGAAGGAATTAGCTACTACACAGTTCTCGCATAGCTTATCTAGTCTCATTATCCTCATCGTTCTGTATTTAGCCCACAAGATGTTTTGGTCTATAAGAAAAACATATGTGTAGAGCCCCAGAAAGGAGAAAAAGACTGGCAAGATTGATATTTACTTGCAATTTTTTAAAAAATTCTTAACTGCTTTTCCCACCAAACAACAGACACCAAAGCAGTTTATGAGACAAATTTCCATTTAAATAAATTTTAAGTAAAAGAATATCCACATCAAGGATACCACAGTCAAAACATTTGATCTCTAATTAAGTGCTAAAGCTACAAGGAATAAAACCTGTTAACTGCTCACCTAACAGGAATTAGGGATGGTGCTAGTTTCAGCCGCCCTTGGCAGAGAAATCCGTAACTGGTATGCTATCTTATATACCAGCCTCCTAAAACCATCTGTGTACATGCTATGATTATGCATACCTTGAGTAAACAAGCTGGATTTCTGGCAAAATGGAAGAATAACTAAATGGTTATGTAGAGCGCACAAGTAATGCAAATAAACTGTAACACTTCGTGGCAAGCACATTATAGTGCATGTGGGAGCAAGAGGTAGCCAGGAAGAGGGGGAAGGCAAGAAACCACTACTGATACACATATTAATCCTCCCCCTTGGCATTGCTCAAAGCCAGCTGGAAAAGGTTTAAATAAATTGGATACGGTAGTAACTCATGGATTGAAAGAACCAGAGAACAATAACTGATAGCATATAATAAAAAAATCTGAAGATTAAATTTTGGTTCCATTGGCATTTTAATTTTAAGAGCTTAGTATTCCTGTTTTAGTTTTTCACTGTGGAGTAATTATTATTCAGCTTCTCTGAGACTTTTATTTTGCTTAATCTGATACTAAATTAAATGGAAGTACTCTCCTTGCATTTTTGAATCAGCCTTCTTTGGTTTGTTAATTCTGAGAATACCTTTGGACAGTACCCAGGCAACTTTATGTGTAATTTGTTGCATGTAATTGTGTGAACTCATAATTTGAAACTAGGTCAGTTGATTCTGTTTAATAAAATCAAATCTATTGCTGTGCAAGTAATTCATAAATACATTTGTTGTTGTTTTCTTTCAAGTCAAAAATGGAGAAAAAGATCCCACATAACCAACTATTAATTTTTTTCCCACTACCATGGTGCCTACTATAATTCCAGGTTCTTGACACTCTCTTAATTTACTTGCCTCCTACAATGGAATTATTAAGAAACTAAATAAAACACTAAATTTACATTATTGTACTGTTCTTTTTTTACTGCAACAAAATACTTGAGTGTCTTTAATGCTGCAGTGCTCTCTGATTATTAGAATTTGAAATTTGGTCATGTCAAAAATTATCACAAAGATTTATTGTTTAACTACATAATCTTAAACCAATGTTAAACCATTGTAACACACAAACAAGATCTTGTCTTTTAAGGCACAACACATCATTATGCACATTCTGTTTTCCAAACTTATAAAAGAGACAATAATTATTATTATGTAGCCCCATCCCATACACCTCCAAAACAAAGGAAATAAATTGCATCCACTTTCAAAGTCAACTGCTAATAAAGTCACAGTAAATTATTTTCACCAATAATTTACACATTTTACATATCTAGACAGGATTGTCATTGTACAGTCTGAGTGCATTCCAATTCAGATTTTCTAGGTTAGTTAGTTAGACTAAAGTTTGATTCAAACCTCAGTGCTGAGAATATATCCCATATTGAGGAATGTTGTTGAACACCACCGTTGACGATCAGAAAATACATATCACTGCTTTCCCAGTCTAAGTCCATTGCAAAAGTTATTCACTCTGGCTAGGGCTCATTTGGTGTGTACCAGCAACCTCCTTTTATGGTTCTTTAATCATCCAAAATCCTGTATATATAAGACCATATAGAGAATTCTTGTGTAGAATTAAAGCTGTAACTCCATTCAGTAATCTGAATTCTTCACATGGAATTTTCATCCCAAATATTGCTTTTCCTTCTTAAGACCATACATATGTGTAAAGCCAGAGGCATCGGATCACACATAAAAGATTCAGTGTACTTGAAATATAAAAGGAATTTGTCAGCTATGTGACAACAGTTACAAATACTCTAATTCCAGAGCTTGGTGTAGAGCCAGGAGGTCCGAGTGACTAGATATCCTCCAGAAAGGCATGTTGTGCTGTGTTAGTTGAGGGAGGAAAACACAAGAAGAAATGAACAATATATTTAATACAGCACACATGGTTGTTTCTCACACTATGAGCTTTCTAGAATTATTTGAACAGCAACACTTCACCCTACTCCAATCCCTATTCCCATCCTAAGAAGACTTGAACTACATTTTCAGTACTTTATTGATATAATGATACTGTTGTTCATACTTTTACAATGCAATTATTAACAAAAACTGAATAAGTGTAGAAAAGAATACTTTTCTGATCTCTTGAAAGGCATATTCCATACAGGTTGCGCATCTTTTAGCTGGAATTCTGAAATCTGGCATACTCCAAAATTCAAAATATTTTTCATAGATGGTTGGGATAGTGAACCTTTGCCTTCTGATGGTTTAATATACACAAACTTTGTTTCATGCACAAAACAATTAAGATATTGCATATAACATCTCCAGGGTAATTATAGAAAACATAAATTTCATCTCCAAGATCTGAAATCCAAAACAATTCTGATGTCAAGCATTTTGAATAATAGATACTCAACCTGTATAACACACTCAACTATATATTTTTTTGCGGGAAGCTCAAAATAGCTGCAGACAGATTTGAATGTTAAAAAAGCCTATGATTCCGGAACCCCGGAATAGTCAAGCTTGAGATGGAGAATGACCCAGGAATGGCCGACGATGAAACGGATGAGGATTGGATTGGAAACGGATGAGGATTGAGGATATAGCTCTTTTTAAACTGTTATTGCACTGTCTTTTTTGTCTAAATGAACTTAATTGTTTTTGCTTTTGTATTGTATTGATGGCATCGAATTGTGCTGATGTGTAGACCGCCCTAAGTCGCCTGCGGGCTGATATGGGTGGGATATAAGTGATGTAAATAAATAAATAAATAAATAATGATTTCTTGAAATATTATATGGCAAGCAGGTAAACACGTGTTTTGTGAACTTATCTATCTGTTTAACTTTCAAAATTTGAAAATTTCTTCAAGACAAATGCACCTTCAAACTTCCTCACAAGGAGAAGATACAAAGAACATATACTCTGGGCTGCGGTGAGTTTTCTAGATTGTATGGCCATGTTCCAGATGCATTATCTCCTGATACTCTCAGGACTCTCAACATATACTCTTTTTAATGCATAAAACAGTTCCAGAAGCCCAATGTGAAATCTTTTCTAGTTAAGTAGAATGTCAGTTGTTGATATCACCACAATGCCCCTCAATAAAAGCTCCCTGTGACCATAATCAGCCAATGTGATACAGTTGTCAGTACCAGACTCTAGTGAGTTGGGGAAGCAAGAACTTCATAAATAAAACATTACAAAGGGCACGTGGCTTGCGTTTTAAGAGCCTTATTTACATCATCCTCAGATCTGTTTTCTGAAGAACTTGCATTGCATTCCACAACTGTTCATGCAAGCAACGTATACAGTTAGAGGAAAAGCATGCTAACCATGAAGTAAAGACTCAACCACCTGGTTTTCTAAAAAGGCTACAAGACACAATCCCAGCCCCTGTACTGCATCTACTTACAGCAACCATTTGGAACCAGCATTGAATTGTTAACAAAATTGTGATAGCTAAAGACCAACACTAGGAGACACTATATAATATTAAAACTGCTATCTCATTCAGTTTTCATTAATGTAGGATAGCTGTGAATAATATCAATGTATATCAAAATACCAAACTTCTCCATATTACTGAAGACTATTCTGGAACTGGTTAAATTCTGACAGAAATAACTTCTATAATGCACATGTGAGTACTTGGTGATGTCTTTTATATACAAAAGAAACATCCCATGACACATCAATATCCCCAACTAGATATTAGGCTCCAGAAGTATCACTTTGTTCAATGATCTTCCAAATACAAACCTTATCTTGAACAATGTAATGAAGGGGACAGATCTATATATAAAAACCGGTACCCTGTGGAAATTGGTCCTCAATAGAATGAATTAAATTATAATTTCATCAGTCCCTTCAACGCATCTTATTTAAATTACAGTAACACCAGAGGCACTCGAAGTGGCCAGCTTCTGGTCAAAGGAAATCTAGTATAATGCCAAGTTTTTAATTTTGTGGTTTTTTATTCATTATAACTGTATTCTCAATTTGATTCTGACATGATAAATAAAATCTTAATTAAAATTTGTAATATTGATTTATGGTATGCTTCCCATAAACTTTTGCATGCCTTTCTTCCTATAATTATACAAAATTCATCAATATTGTGGCAAATTTATGTAGCAAGTTTAATTTGTCAGAAGTTTAAAATCTACACACTATATCAATTCATCTTAATACGAGGCAAGATGTTATAAGACATATGCTTAAATCCAAATGGTTTAACTATATAGGCCTTACGTTTCTGGTTTTCAGGATCTACCAACTTGAATCACTTGCCAATGTGCCATACTAACAGAAATGCAAACAGAGTAAGCTTGCATCAATTTTTAAACATCACACCAACATTTTATGAGACAGGTTACCTTTTTTGCTGCCTGTTCTTCTTCTACACCATCCCCAATTACAACATATACTACTTTTCTGCCAAACCTTTGCATTATTCGTTCAAAGCAACTTTCTTTTCCTGGAAGATAAATGAGATACAGTTCAGAGAGAAGTTACCTGGTTAGCTGCATGCTCCTCATCTCGGCCATCTCCAATCACAACATAAGTTATGTTAGTGCCAAACCTGGACACTATACGCTCAAAACAGCTTTCTTTGCCTGTAAAACAATGCACTACTTATTTGGGCTATCAATAAGAAGGATCACAAATATACAGAAAGGGCTAGGCAAGCCACAGAGAAGACTAGGAGTTGAAAATACATGTTTTCACACCATGTAGCTCTTAGCTCCTAAATAAGGGAAAGCAATTTAATTAAACAGATTTATTTAATAACCAAATTAATATCTTTACCAAACTAGTGATCAATAATGTTTGGCATTAAGAGAAACTAAAGAATAGAAAGTTAGTTCATGTGGTGTAGCCCTACAGTTTTTCCTTGTCAACCACAAGTTCGTTGAAGTTCAAAAACCAATGACAAGAGATGACTATCAAAAGCCAGGAGCATTCAGGAGGTTTCATTAAGATATCTTGCACTAGGCAACCTCTTTTTGGCTAATCTCTTCTATGTTTACTGCTATGTGATTGGCATTTACTCTTTTTATTCTTATTAGCATTCGTTGGTGGTAGATGGCAGCTCACCTACTCAAATATCACAGCCCACAAGGCATATAACTGTCTGATGATCTAAGACTAAAGATTCAAAATGTATAAGTCCAGTGTTTTCTAAAACTGAACAAATATTATCTATTCAGTGCTGTCAATTTTTTGCTTAAGAAGTCTGAGTGAAACAGAGCCAGGCATCCCAGTACGATACACACAATGTTCATTAAACTAACATGCAAATTATGTACATTAACTATGAGTAGATATAATAATTAATGTTGGTCATCTGGCTCTTTTTATTGGTTAGCTCAATAAAAATCACATTATTAAAAGATACAGAGATGTGGAAAGGGTGGAGAGACACAAACTTATACAAAACTTAAGATGAATTCCTTACCTATTTTAGTTGCACTGTAAATATTTTCAATAGGAAAAGCACCTCCTAAACTATACAGCAGGACTTTTGCAAGGGCAGGTATAAGTTGGGTTGTTGTTACCAAGACATTTACACAATTACTCCTATAGAAAGAAACAAAGCATGACATCTTGGTAATGATAAATATATATTTTTCTAAAATACACAGAGTGTATTCCTTTCATAATTTTAATGCAATTCTTATCCAGCAACCAAATAATTGTAATAAAAGTTAAAGTAGTTTCCTTTAAAATATTTTATTACAAACTTTCCAATACAATAAAAGAACAAAACATAAAAACAAATAAATAACAATAAGAGAAAGAAAACGCATCAAGACAATTGCATTTTGACTTTTTAAACAATGGTTATTCATCTTGATTTTTAAAGTTACTTCTCAAACTAACTTCTTTTGCTTAACCAAACTATTAATTGTCTGTTACTTTGAGTCTCTGTTAAATAACAAAAAACTACAGAAAGAATATTTTTTTCAATTTTTCTGAAAAAAAGAAATCAAGGGTTTTCATCCTTCAAACTATTACCAATTATTTTTCTCTAAGCAAAGTTAATGGTTTCTCCATTTTATCTAGGTCTGTCAATTAGAGGTGCTTTTATCACAAGTAAACTTTTATAAAACTAATCCGTTTCACTTATCTATTTGGAATGATCTTTGCACACAGCAACTATCATTGATATTCTTTCTGCTCACAGCACTCTTGTATATATGTGAAGTGGCTTATACTGAACTTTGACTAATTCAAGAATCCTGTTTCTTTCTGATTGGTCAGGATTTGGATAATATTTGTCTAAAAGGAAAAAAAATGTTTGCAAATGAATGCACATTTGCTGTTATAACTGTTTTCAATTTAATGTAACTTATTGTGACTCTACTATAGGGTCTTTTTACTCCGAAGAAATCTGTCATTGCTTTCCTCTTAGGCTTATACAGTATGACTTGTCGAAGGCCACACAGTGATTTATTCATGCCTGAGCAGGTATCCAAAGCCTGAATTGCCTGAAGAGTTAATTATACCCAAATCGATATAATTTTATTTTCAAAAAATTAAAGTTTGTCTTATGTATGCTGCAGTTTCACATAACTTACTTGCATGTGTGAAACTCACACAAAAGATAAAACATCAGAGATACAGATCTTCATGTTTCATCTAGGGATTCTGAACCTGCTTCCACACATCCATTTAATCTGAAGCAGAATGTGGATTTAAGAGATCCCATTCCTTCTAGAGTGCCTTCACAGGCACCTCAGGAAACAGATGAAAGCTCAAGGAGTCCACACATCCACTGGATTTCTTTAACCACTTTCTAATCTGGATTAAGTGCTTCTATCAAAACCCAGGATTTTATTTATTTTATTTTCTCTACCTCCTGGCAAGATGCTTTCCAAGCACTTGTTACAGCTCTGCAAAGGAAGGCAATACATTTGAGCATTCCCATGGGAATCTGGGTTTTTAGGAGGAGGTTTTGTTTACCTTCTGACTGGACTATGCAGCTACTTTCTTATTCCAACTGCCTTCCCACTGCAGTTTACATTAATATTTGGCATTTACATGTGCCTTGTTCATGCAGGAAGGATGCACAGGATTTCCTGTCTGGGATTTTGATTTCTGGTGAGTCCTTTTATCCCACTGTTTCTGGTTGGATGCAAGTTGGAGCTTGTATTTGGAGAGAATGTTATCTCGATCTCGAGGTTCTTCAAGCCTGAGTCTAGTGCCTGTGCAGATGGGGTCCCACACAAATTGGCTTATGTTGAAGTCTTTTTGCATAATCACAAATAAATGTGAAACTTGAAAGGGCTACAATTCAATTGAAAAGCATATGTTTGCATTAAAAATTCCTAAACTGCATTTCTGGCATTTTAGGCAGTGGCATGAAGTGTTTCATGTCCAAAACACCAGGAAAAATAGAAAAAAAAACAAGGTTGTCATCAATTAAGTAGATGGAACAATACTAAGATTTTGAACAAGACAGTTTCTATAAACCAAACTATTCTGCTTAAAAAGCATTTTTGTACTCATTTCTTTTCTTTGAAGAGTAATGCTTGCTATAAAAACTGACACTTAAACACATACTCACCTTGTACTAATAATTGATAATGATTTAAGTGCATTTGTCAGCCAGGAGTCAGTGAGAGCTTCAATCTCTGCTCTTAATTGTAGCCATGCATCTCTTTTTGCAGGACCAAGTAGTCCTGATATAGAAAAAACAAACCCACACATACACTTAACACCATATTGTATTTTAACCAATATCAATAGAATTTGCAATTATTTATTAATTTAGAAACTATTAATTCACCTCCCAATATTGCTTTATATTACAATGTAATACAGCAGCTGGCTCAAATTTTTGAATTAGACATTTTAAAGTGCCTTTTCTTCTTTCAGATAGCATGTCAAGTTAAGAGCCTGGAAGCAAGGGTTTACAGGTAGAGATTTTACTCATTTGCGACAACAGGTTCATAAAGATGTTACATTTGCAGGTAATGTTTCAGCTGATCGCACATGTTAGCTATGAGTAGTTACTATTGTGCAATATGTTTTGGGATAAAAATTGCTTTTGTAGGGTATGTTGAAATTATATTATTAAAATCTATATATGTCTAAATCTCCTTTATTTATTTAGATGGGTTTTCTGCTAAGAAAAGAATATGATCTTTTCCAAACATCCTCTCCAACCCATAAAGAATCAGGCTCCCTCATATACAGAGACTCTCAGGGAAATGAACCAGAAGGACAATTACTAGAGCACAGATGGCAGAAAATCCAACTTTTACGTAGCAAGGTATGATATAGAGGACATCTTCACTCCTATAAAGTGGCAATATATGCAGCAAAGAAAGCTTTCTTCTATGTCTGAATTGCATCTGCAGCACATCCAGCTGAACTGTTCAGAGTGGTGAGAAGCTTGATCCATGTGCGCTCCCACCCCCAAACCCATTGCTAGAACCTTCAGTAGCTCACTGTGATGCCGTTAATAACCATTTCACAATTAAAAATCTCTCACATAAGAGCAAACTTAGATAGTGTCATTAGAGGAGAAGTCAACAACAAGGTGTCAAGTCTGAGTGGATTACATTTTATCAGTTTCAACTAGTGAGTACTGTTGTAATGTCATAATGTTGAAGTATGCCACCTGCCCTTAAAATTGTGGCTGTATAACACTTTTACTAATAAATAACAAACTATTTATTTTCTATACAATGTATAGTTTCTATTTCCAATGATTATTTTTCCTACTTGTCAGACAGCTAAAACTAGAACAAACACATTTCTGTTTTCTCTCATCTTTCTCTTCCTCTTCCCCTGTCTCCCCCGGGACCTGGTATAACAAGAATTTTGCTTGAACACAACAAGGTAATAATAATCTAACTCTGGCTATAACCTAAATACACACTTGGATAATGGTTAATGGTTACTGGTATGGAGAAAGTACTTCAATTTGTTGCTTATATTATCTAATAGTGTTTGCTGAATATTATCCCAGCATTGTTTGAGTCAGTATCTCCCCAACTTAAAAATGTAAATTAAAAAAGAATGGTAGAAGCTTCTGAGTAAGTATCTAGAATCTGAAAAACCTTAGTTTGTACTCATTTCTCTTTCATATACATAACTGCAATGTACAAGATGCATGGCAACATATATCACCTTAAATATTTCTATATCAGCACTACAAATATATAAACAGAACAACTGTTTTGACCAAGATCCAATGGCAATTCTCAATCTCCCAAAGCAGAGAAATTAGGGTTTTCTTCCTTTCCAGGTACAATTCTCTTTCACACCAATAACCTGTAAAGAGGGTATTCCAGCAGGTTTTAGGATGCACAGATAGCTGCTGCAGGAAGAAATGGAATTGCCAATTCTGGGGAAGTGATCAGTTTGAGAGGAAGTGCACTGTTGCATCGTGCCTGCTGGAGAAGTCATTTCACTACTCTTACATGTCAAGGATAGAACTAAAAGCATACATTCAGAATGACACATCAAATGCAGCCAAAATGATCCTGTATTTGACATTCAAATTTCCTTGAGGCAAATAAATTTAAAACTTTGATGGTCTTTCATATCTAAATGTAAAAATATTCCTCTTTATGAAATATAACAGTTTTATTCTTCTTCATTTATTCACTTTTCTGTCTTATGTTCACATAAAGGTGAATTACAATGTTGTGCAATGCTCATATTTTCAAAAGAGAAAAAAAGATGTAGCCACGTCTTTGGAACTGTTATGCAAATAGGGCTGGCAGTGTGGCAAATGAACAATGGTCCTGATTTACAACATGTACTGGTATACACAGGAAAAGGTGGTGCATTGGGACATATCGTGCAATGGAAAGCCATGTTGCAAAACTGTGTACCATGCGGTATGGTGTATCATTCACAAGTCACAAATATGGATGCATATTGTTAAGGTTTATGTAAAGCTATGTCTGAGAGCCAGGTATGCAAGACCTTGACTTTTATTTTTTTAAAAATATATGAGGGGAAGGGGGAGGGTAAAATTTTATACACAGAATTTAGATATGTTATTGACATTTTAAAATGCTTACCTCCAATATTATTCTTATAAGTATTATATAATTCTTTTACTCTTCTGTAACGGAATGCCAGCTTCCTCATCCAGTCAACTCCTCCTCTTACACCTGTTGGCAGACAAAGGTTTGCACTACTTGCAGCTGCATGGAAGCCATCAGTTGCAAAACTGTAGGTACTGCAAACACCCAAAATATGCAAAAGTGAATACTTAGTCTTCCTGCAAAAGACATACTTATATAATTTTGCTACAATGTTTCAAAAAGAGGGTGGTGTACCTTAGGTCTTGTCCATTGTCATCTGAAGAAACATCATCTATATGCACTTGATCACATTCCTGTTGGGAAAGGATTATATTTTTCATAATCAAAATAGTTTATAGTATGGGCCCAAACCTTGACAAAAAAGCACCGCATGCACACAATAGTACCCTTGGAGCAACCAGAAGATGGCTGAATTTTCATACTTGACATTTCATTAACAAAATCATCATTATGTTAACAGAATCAACTGTAACACCTATTTGCACAATGGGATATTCCTGCATTTATTACTATATAGAGAATTCTAGTGTGCTGTAGAAGCCAGGAGCACTTTTGCCAATTCCAGACATGAAAATGCTATCATATTTCCTATCCAATTGAAATATAAAGCTCTTTAAATAAATATGTCAATATATGTACACTTATAAACAACAACCGCTTACTACAAAACAAAACAAAAGAAAAAACAACAATTGGTGAGGCTACTGTTTTTATTGCCCACCTTGAATTTTAAGGAAAAGATCGTGCCAATTTTACGCATTTAATGCATTCTGGAATCTTTTCCAAAATGTCCATGTTGATTCTTACTGAACAACTAAATTAACCCATTTAAAAGAAATATCCAAGTAAAAATTGACAAAATTTCGAACACAGGACTCTATTAGATTTACATTGAATTTGTGTCCATTGTGACACTAACAGTCTAGAATTGCCTTATGGGCTGGGAATACTTCAATCTGCCTGAAACTTCTGTGCTGGTACCTGTTTCCCTGGCTGCCATGGCCCAACACTGATAATTTATTTTCCCATATATTCGCCTGGATACATGCTGGCCATGCAGCAAAGGATGACATTTCTACTACTGATTTGCAACAACAAAATCCCATTGTCAACACTACTTTGTTGATTCATCAACTCTATACCTTTACAATGGTGACCTACTCAAGCAATTTTTCTCATTGCCAAGGCCTACCTGACCTCTGCAAAGAAGAACTAGCACAGGCAACTGATTGATACCATTGTTTGTTAACATCTGAACCGGAGTAAGCAAAAGAGTATTGATGAATGGAATCAGAGGTATGATGTTACAATGTAGGTGAGGCTAAGAACACTATTCAAAGTTTTAGCTAGTGCCTGAAATACCATGGTGCTGGCTATGATTGAGAGTGCCCTTAGGAAACTGGTGTTGTTGCACAACCTAAATCTGTTTCAATAAATTGTGATTTGCCCATGTTGTTATGCCATGTTAACTGCCATACACACACACACACACACAGAGAGAGAGAGAGAGAGACACGAGCAAACACACACACACACACACACACACACACACGTGTGTGTGTGTGTGTGTGTATGGGTATGTGTGTATCAACTTCATGTACAAGCTGAGGGTAGGTTTGGGGACCAAAATTATGGAACCAAAACCAAAATTATGGATATGATCATTAAGAAAATCAAGGGCAAAACAAGTTTTCTTTGGGGCAGTTTTTGAATCCATTCTATGCATTCATTCTGGGCTACTTTCTAAACCATTGGTGCTCACTAAATATCATTTTAGGCAATAAAGCATAAAGAAGGACTGGAAATTAAGAGGGCAAATAATTTTCCATATTGCTTTCAAAGAATTATATGAAAAACGACCTCCCTTAATGTTACTCCTTAATTCTTTCTTCAGTTCTCTGTTAGTCTTATTAGCTTCTTCTCAAGTGTTCCTGCCATCTGTATTACTTAACTTCCACTTTATCAATTGATGGCTTTGGGGAATTTCTGCAAATGTAATTCATTTCTAGGGAACTAGCATAGCACAGTGGTTAGAGCACTGGACTTGGCTCTGGAGATCAGGGTTGCAAACAATCACATGCATAGTTTGGCCAGAATAAGCACCAAAACTTATACAGGGGCCCTAGATTGTATAACTATTTGAATGAACAAATGAAATATATAAATATACTTATATTGCCACATTGGGTGTCAACATGATCATTCAAGTATTGGACTATGGCTCTGTAAATCAGGGTTTGAATCCCTGCTCAGCCATGGAAACCTAGCAGGCCTGTACTATATCATCCTGGCAAAACACACTTTTTCACTATCAGAATGAAGGAAACTCAACCCCCTTCTGAACAAATCTTGCTAAGAAAAACCGCATGAAAGATTTGCCTTAGGGTCACCACATATCAGATATTACTAGAAAAAGATTACTACAGCAACTGGAGTACTATTACTACAGCAACCTCTTAATAGTGTGTTTACATATTATCAACATAGTACGTTTCCTTGTTTGCCTTCCGCTGTTAACTGGTATAAGCCTATTGCTGCTAATCTGTACTAGCGCTCGTACCTTCTACCCTCTATGCCGCACTTCAGTTAACGTTGGGAGCCAGATTTGGGCATTGTTGCACTTTATGATTCTTGCACTTTATGAATGTGCCCAACGGCACGCAGATATACTACCACTGTGTTGCACTTTAAGACTCTGCACTTTAATAATCTCTAACTGTTAATTGTCGTGGCTGAACCACTTAACATCATCGGGACTGTTATTATCCATGTGGTCCCCCATCCCCCTATTTGTGTTGTTCCTGCTTTTAGTGACCAGTGGAAGGGACGGAGGAGGAAGTGGGCTGGAGCCGGTGAACAATAATGAGGCGGGGAGGGGGGAGGAGGGGAAGCAAGGGAGTTGGCAGGGACCAACAAACCAAACATCTAATGAAACAGATATCAAGACCCTGGTTTGGGACCGCGGCATGGAGGGGGGGAGGTGTTCCACTAGCCGAGGGGCCCCCATAGAGGTCGTGGTGGGAAGGAGGAGATGCGGAAAAAGGAGACCTCGAATTCGGCTTAATTCGGACCGCTTATCAAAATTAGTAATCCCAAATCGGTCTCCTAAGGTAAATTGGTGTAACCAGGTGAGCGGGCCCTCTGGATTGAAGGTGGTGCTGCTGAACGCCAGATCTGTCAACGGAAAAACATCCTTTATCCAGGATTTAATCCTGGACGAGCGGGCAGATCTGGCGTGCATTACGGAGACCTGGTTGGATGAAGCTGGGGGGGTGAATCTGACCCAGCTTTGTCCTCCAGGTTTCTCCGTACAGCACCAACCGAGATCCGGAGGACGGGGAGGCGGGGTCGCAGTGGTCTATAGAGATTCCATCCATCTGACCAGGAGTCCCATCCCGCAGACCACAAATTTTGAATGGGTCCACCTGAGGGTGGGTGACCGGGACAGAATAGGGATTCTGTTAGTGTACCGTCCACCTCGCTGCACTACAGTCTCCCTACCTGAGCTAGCGGGGGTGGTCTCGAGCCTGGCGTTGGAGTCTCAACGGCTTCTTGTGCTGGGAGACTTCAATATCCATGCCGAGGCGACCCTCACAGGAGCGGCTCAGGACTTCATGTCTGCCATGGCAACCATGGGGCTGTCCCAACAAATATCTGGCCCCACCCACTGTGCTGGACACACATTGGACTTGGTTTTCTGTCAGGGATGGGAGCAGGGTGGCGGTGTGGAGGAGTTGTCTATCTCTCCGTTGCCATGGACTGACCACTTCCTGATCAGATTTAGGCTCACTGCACCCCCTAACCTTTGCAAGGGTGGAGGACCCATTAAGATGGTCCGCCCCAGGAGGCTTATGGATCCGAACGGATTCCTGACGGCTCTTGGGGATTTTCCCGCCTCCGCGGTAGGTGATCGTGTCGAGGCCTTGGTCGCTCTCTGGAATGGGGAGATGACCAGGGCAATTGACACGATCGCTCTGGAACGTCCCCTCTCAAGTAGCCGAGCTAAACCAGCCCCTTGGTTTACTGAGGAGCTGGCAGTGATGAAGCGAAGGAAGAGGGAACTGGAGAGCGTGTGGCGTTCAGACCCAAGCGAGTCAAATCGAACACGGTTTGTGTCCTTTTTAAGGGCATACGCCGCGGCAATAAAAGCCGCAAAGAAAACCTTCTTTGCAGCTTCTATTGCGTCTGCAAAGAACCGTCCGGCGGAGTTGTTTCGGATTGTCAGAGGTCTTTTAACTCCCGCCACTTCAGGCGGGAGCCCTGACAATTCGGTCACGCGCTGTGAAGCATTTGCTCGGTTCTTTGCAGACAAAGTCGCTTTGATCCGTTCTGAGCTGGACACCATGTTAAATGCAGTCTCTGTGGATGTGACACGAGCACCTGCTTGTCCTATTTTGTTGGATTCTTTTCAGTTTGTGAAACCCGAGGATGTGGACAAGATACTTGGAGGAATGAGGCCCACCACGTCCATCCTAGACCCCTGCCCATCCTGGCTTCTGAAGGAGGCCAGAGGGGGATTGGCTGAGTGGGTAACGGTGGTGGTTAATGCCTCCCTTCGGGAAGGCAAGATTCCAGCGTGCTTAAAACAAGCAATTATAAAACCGCTGTTGAAGAAACCATCATTGGACCCCACTAAATTTGACAACTTTCGGCCTGTTTCCAATCTCCCCTTTTTGGGCAAAGTCATGGAAAGCGTGGTGTCCTCACAACTCCAGGTATTCTTGAGAGACACGGATTATCTGGATCCGGCACAGTCTGGTTTCAGACCGGGACATGGTACCGAGACGGTCTTGGTCGCCTTAGTGGATGATCTGTGCCGGGAGCTAGACAGGGGGAGGGTGTCCCTGTTGGTGCTCCTGGACCTCTCAGCGGCCTTCGATACCGTCGACCACGGTATCCTTCTGGGGCGCCTTGCGGAAATGGGTCTTGGGGGCACTGCTCTGCAGTGGCTCCAGTCATTTCTGGAGGGTCGTACCCAGAAGGTGTTATTGGGGGACTGCTGTTCAACACCACAGCCTTTGACCTGTGGGGTTCCACAGGGTTCTATATTGTCCCCCATGCTGTTTAATATCTACATGAAGCCGCTGGGTGAGATCATCCGGAGTTTCGGGGTGCGGTGTCATCTGTACGCAGATGATGTCCAACTCTGTCACTCCTTTCCACCTGCTACTAAGGGGGCTGTCGAGGTCCTGAACCGGTGCCTGGCCGCTGTAATGGTCTGGATGAGGGCGAACAAACTGAAATTAAATCCAGACAAGACAGAGGTACTCCTGGTCAGTCGCAAGGCCGAACAGGGTATAGGGTTACAGCCTGTGCTGGACGGGGTCGCACTCCCCTTGAAGGCGCAGGTTCGCAGCTTGGGTGTGACCCTGGATTCATCTTTGAGCCTGGATCCCCAGGTTTCAGGGGTGACCAGGCGAGCATTTGCACAGCTTCGGCTCGTGCGCCAGCTGCGCCCGTATCTTGGGAAGTCTGACTTGGCCACGGTGGTACACGCTCTGGTCACATCCCGCCTTGACTACTGCAACGCTCTCTACGTGGGGCTGCCCTTGAAGACGGCCCGGAAGCTTCAGCTAGTCCAGCGCGCGGCAGCCATGTTACTAACGGGAGCGGGACGCAGGGAGCACACAACGCCCTTGTTGTCCCAGCTCCACTGGCTGCCGATTTGCTACCGGGCCCAATTCAAGGTGCTGGTGTTATCCTACAAAGCCCTAAACGGTTCCGGCCCAAAATACCTTTCGGACCGCATCTCGGCCTATGAGCCCACGAGGGCCTTGAGATCATCTGGGGAGGCCCTTCTCTCGATCCCGCCCGCCTCACAGGCACGTCTGGCGGGGACGAGAGAGAGGGCCTTCTCAGTGGTGGCCCCCCGGCTGTGGAACACCCTCCCTGTTAACATCAGACAGGCGCCCTCCCTGATGGCTTTTCGTAAGAGCCTAAAGACCTGGCTATTCGAGAAGGCATTTAATTGAGCCACACGAATCTGGTAATGACATTGGAACGGACTATGGATTATGAGATTGGCTATGATTCTATGTTGTGATGGCGCGGATTTAGTAGTGTGATTTAGATTAATGTGTAATTTGATTGTTGATATATTGTATGTTTTGTAGACTGTTTTTTACATGTTGTACACCGCCGCGAGTCGCCCCAGGGCTGAGAGCGGCGGTCAACAAATGAAGTAAATAAATAAATAAATAAATAGGAAGCATAAGGTTTAACTATAGCAGGTTGGGTAGACAAGTTCCCTTTTCAATGTCTACTTTTCCACACCTCCTTCCTCTTCTTGGCCCCTATGAATATAATTTATTCTCTTAGTATGCCTCATCCAGTTTGTTTTCTATGAAGTTGGTATTGCCCATCTTGTATTCCTTTTGGATTTCTTTGTAATCTGTGTTCTCTTGTCTTCTTTTCCTAAATTTACTTGTCACCTTGCTGACTTAATTTCAGTACTATCAAACTATAGCCATTTTAAAATCACATCTGTACAGCGACCCTAGATCAAGCATGTGTTTTGCTTAGCATCTGACAAAATCCTCATTTTCTCAGGTTTTCCCCAGTCACTTAGCTGTGTCTCTAGAGGAGCTGTGCAGGATTCTTCTTTTTATCTAAATGTCACATGGCATTGATTTCCACATTTGAAATACTTGTGATAATTCTCAGCAGTTTCATCTTACTAGTTTGCATCTATCTCTCTTGTTTTACATCCTTGATTAAAATTTACAATATCTGGAAAAACAGCTTCTTCCTGTTCCTGGGATTTGATATAATTCTTAGGGTGCACATACTTAAGTCTTCCTATGATGATACAGTACACCAAAAAATATGTGAAAAAGATAGCATACTGAGTATGAATGTTCCTGCTCAGAATGATTTCTCCCATGTTGGCCTTGAAGCATGGCCTCCATACAGAAACATGGAATAGTATAATTTAATTTGGTTATTTTAAATCCATTAAGTGGAACATTTCTTTTTTTAAATCTCAGTGAAAAATATATAGGTTAATTTAATAATGAGGCTATAAACAAGAAAACACAACAGAATATATCTTTTTTAATGAACTTGCTTTCCTTTGTTTTGAAAATTATAATAATTATCTAGACGGAGTTGAAAGGATCAAGGTAATATCTCCTGCATCTAAAAGAATGTTCTAAATCAGGCCCATTTTATGATAAAATGACTTCCCCTGGTCTGTGATTCTATAACTTATTCTTTCAATACATTACTTTAAGACTTATTTCTTGTTATTCATGATTGAACTCTAGAATGAAAACACAGGATATAGTTCTTCTTCCTTATAAGTACAATTCTCCCCAAAATACAGTTCCCTCAATTATAACAATTTTTATAACATGCTGGGGGTGGGGGATCTGCAAAATATTTTACTGTGGACATCTAATCCCAAGTTTTAGCCTTAAATTCTGAAAAAACTTGGATCTACTGTGTTAGCACCATATGCAATTAATTTAGTTTATAACTCAAGTGCTTTTGGAACATCAGTCTAAATTACATCCCTCCCATTCCCAGTGGAAACTCATGGTCTACTACCATAATACCAGGATATTGGTGTTTGATCACAATAATGATGGGATAGGAATGGGTGGAGGAACTCTCTGTTGATTTTAATGTGAGGTAAAATACCTTTCAAAACTGCTACAGAACTGGCTACACTCATGTCTCAGTGGGCCACTGGCTGTGCAAGTTCAAAACTAAGAGAGATAAAATATATTTTTCATTACTGGGTGTTTACAAATTCAGGAACAATAATTGACTGCTGCAACATTAACTTGAATCATTTCTCAGAATCACTAATTCCTTACAGGAGTGTCTCAGAATAAGGAGTGTAAACCTACCAATGACCCACAAAAGTGATCCTCTCTGGAATTGACAGTAATTTCATTATCCAATGAAAACAATGACTTCATTTCAGTAAAAATAAAAATCCTATTAAGTAGCAGCTCTTAGAAGTTACAGACTAGAAGATGGACAATAGAAAATAGTAAAATTGATATAGATTGTCTGCCAAGTTTATAAGGAATGTTTCCTTGTTAGCAAAAAGTGTAAAGCTTTTGTAAGTTAAAAGGTTTTTTTTTAAAAAAACCAATACTACAGGAAATTTGCACAAAGTTCTTGTTTAATTTTGTCTAGAAGCAATCCTTATTTTCTAACTTGTTCTTTATACAGTACTTTTCAGTCTCCTCATAAGCAGGCATTCAGCACATCTTCCTAATTATTCCACAGGTTAAAAAATGATAGGCTAACAGAGTGCAGAACCCATGAATCAAGACATCAGTTTCAAGATCTCTTAATACTCTTTTCACCATATAAGAACCTACATATTGATGACACTATCAGAATATTAATTCAAATGCAGGGAAACTAAAGCGTCCAACTTTGTTGCTGCACCCACAAAAGAAACACTTCTGGGCACACCTTCTGTGGAGAAGCATGGATCACAAAATATTAAAATCCTTTCATGAAAGGCTAGAAAACTCTTGGAGTGGGCTGTTAGTGTCAGAATAAACTGTAAAAAGGATGAGGAAGGGATAAAAATATGATGTTATTGTTCTGACTTGTGTAGAAAAACACCTTCCATGCACAGCAGAGATAAGTCCCTTCACTTTCATCCAGGAGCAATACTGAATATATTCACACATAGGGCAGGTCTTTAACAAAAGCTATCCTTCCCTGGATCACAAACCAATCAGAAAATAAAATTTGGACATTTGTTTTTCAGAAACTGCAAATGTTTTGGTAAATCTGCTACCTATAGCAGCTAATCAGTAAGTTATTGAGATGTTGGAACATGATGTTATTTTCTTCTGACATATTTTAAGCAACCAGGAAGGAGAAAAAAACAACAAAGGTTTATTAGATGTAACTAACAAAAGGAAGATGTAACTAAAAAGAACCTGGAATTATTTAAAGTCTGTTTTCTAAATTAAAAGTTCATTTGGCTTATTTCAAACAGCAATCAGTTCCAAACAATGTAACTTAATTTTTGAATTTCAAAATATTTAGGAAGGTTACAGAAAGAGTTCAACACTTAATAAATATTATATTACTAACAGTCAATGGCTTCCATTCTGTCAATGTACTGTTAGAAGAAACCCATGGAAAAAGAATTCAGGCCAGAAACCTGCTTTTCTAAGATTCTTTTAAAAAAGCAATTGATAAATAGCACAAAACAAGATATAATGTGTTCAGATGCAAGATGCTTTATATACAGTCTGAAGAGACATACCTCCAAATCATTAAAAAACAAATGCGTATCAGCAAGATTAAAAATCATTTCTTCCATCCGAAGTCCAAGAGTCACTGCAACGGGTGGATCCTTTGGGAGTAAATGAAAGAGTATAATGTAATTGGTTGAATAAACTGTTGAACCTTATAATTCAATATAGAACAGACTAAAAAAATGTACAGAACTTGGTCACAACTGCATCTTAAGTTGTGTCTCACAAAAAATATTCTTGGATATTATTATTGCCTACTCTACATCTATGCACCTTAAGGAAAGAAAGGAGGGTAGAGAAAACACAGTACAGTAAAACAAATGTTTTGCATTATGTTACTTTTCACTCCCCATGTTTGTATCAACATCTGTCTGATGTGAGGTCCAATTCATAAAAGTTCATGCTGAAATATACCTAGACATTAAATGTCACAGGAGTCTTTTCTATAATGAAACAGATCAACCTAACTATATCTCATAAAGAATCTATGGAGCCAATATATAGGATATCAAGAAACACAAATTAGCAGTTGGATACTGCTACATAGTTTATGTTAAATTGAATATACAACATTCATATTAGAGCAGATCATGTCATCAATGAAAAACTACACTTCCTCCTGGCCCAAGGCAATTTTCAGTTATACAAGAGGCAAATTACATACTACTAAAACTATATGAAAACTGTGGTGCTGAACTTGTCCTGGGTTATAAAATAAATATGAAAGCAATTTAATAAGAAGTAGAGAAACAAACATTTAAGTACATTCAACTGCCAAATTACAAGAGTTCAATTTGAAGCACACAAGATAGTGCCATCCTATCACTACAAACACTTCAAAGGATTCCCCACCATTATGATGTATTACATGTACATGCATGGATACATATATATGCATTGGGTATACACGTAGTACACAGAGACACTGGCCTCTTAGTTCATTGGCTCTTGGGAACATGGCCCTTAGCCAGAGATTGCCAGCATTGCAAGGGAGGCTAAATCAACTGTAACACTTCCCTGTCTCAAAATACAAATGCCTTTGGTTGAGTTAGCAGTGGGCATAACTTGGAGCCAGACAGTCTGCCTGCTGACTTCTGCACTACATTGGGCATGCACTAGAATGGCTCTTCGGGAACAAAGTAAAAATATCCCAGGAGAGCTAACATTTAGGTTCTGAGGAGTCAGGTTGAAGAAAAGGATCTGAATCTTGTCAAATGACTGTTTCTTCTCTTAAATGGTGAAATCAAACATTTGAAAATCAAGTACTAGCCTCAAGGAAAACGCTTTTATTAGTTTTAGTGTAAAACAACTGAATAAATGATTTTGCAGTAGGCTCTTTGTATCCGCTGGAGTTTGGTTTTAGTTAGTTTCCCTCTTAAGGGTGAAGCAGTTGCCCATCTCTACATTTACATCTAATGGAGTGCAGCATAAAAATCGACCCAAAGTCTATCCCATGAATTGTCCATAAGTTACTTTCAGGCAGCATTTCTAGGATTTTCCACTGGTGTACACATGAGTGTTACAAAGCAAACTGGAAGCCCATAGAAGTTGTGATTTAGATTCTGTGGCTATTTTGGGCAGTTCTCTCTTTCAGAGAAGGGGCTCCAGGGCATGAAGGATAATAGCACGTTTGGGATCTTCAAATAGCCCCAGAGCTAATAAGCAGCCTGCAGACCACTTTTTCTATGCTGCTGTAACTAGTAGAGAACTGTATGTTAAAACTAATACAATTTGGATTGTTTCCTTGAGGCAATTGGATATGTTTGGGATATGTATTTTACTCTTCTGTTTCAATTAGTTGGGAAGATTAAACTGTTAAAGACACAGTGAAAGTTCTCTCATTAGATGGGTTTGATCAGAGTGCTGACAAATCTTACATGTAATAATTTACTGGACTACTATAGGCCTAGTCTAGGGACTGAATATATATATATATCTGTGCTATATATATGTGTGTGTGTGTGTGTGTGTGTGTGTGTGCTTTTATAAAGTATTTTCAATTCACTCTTACTTGTATTTTTATTTTCAAAGTTGGCAGCAGAATCAGAAAAACACCATAAGATAATATAAAGAGCAACAAAAAAAATATGGGTGTTCAAAAATGTTCATTTATATATAAAAAGTATATGAATTCTATAGAAGTCTTCAAAGATTTTAAGAACAAAACTTATGGTTGAATTAATACTTTCATTAAACAAAAATGAAATAATAAATGAATATATATAAATAAATTAAAATAAGTGTTTTGAATTCACATTTCACATACCTTCCCATATTTTTGTGCATAAGAGCCTGTAAGAAGAGAATGGAAGACGATGATAGTTTCATCCAAATCCCAAACAAATACACGCTGAAACAAAAACATTTACCAAAATCAGTACGTATAAAACTGTAAGGGAACCACAGCTGAAACAAACTCTTCTTGGTAACAGATAATGATGCAGCAACAGAATGTAATTAGGAGCACACAATCTAAGCTCCAAGAATTGGGTTGATGCTTCAGCCCTGAAAGTAAGGCTACGTTGTCTTGTAAGTTGGAATGTCTCATGCTACTCTAGAGATGAGAAATATTGGTGAGCCCAACAACCAATTCCTCTTTGTAAACAGTTGAGGACTGCATCACACACAGAGGGAAGTATACTCTCATAGAATATTCCGAAGAAAAATGAACAAAGCTCAAGGCTCATCTTTATGAAATGCATTTTCAAAGCTAGAATGCCCCTTAACTACAGCTGGCAACTGCAGCGTCTGGTAGGCAATCCTCTGTCATAGGACTCTCTGGGAATAGTATGGACTGCCAAAACCAAAATAAAAACAAAAACAAACTATGGAAGTAGATTTGAATTTATTTCTGGTTTTGCATTTAATATTTTTAAACACTAAACAGTGCAGGGGGCCCCTGCAAACTTCTGAAATATGAATCTCCACACTCATCCTCATCTGTCTTTCTCCCAAAATTAGGACATGAGTAGACTTACATTTTTTAAATGCACCTGGAAACATATAAAAAGCTGAACATTAACATATATTAAACTAGCAAAATGACTTAAAGCTATATTTAAAAAAGGAAAATATTACAAAAGAATTTAATACAAAATAATAAACATTTAAGTCATTCTTTCATAACTTTTTTTTTTTAAAAAACCTTCCAGAATAAAAAGATCTTTGTCTGGTGATGGAAAGAAAGCAGGAAGGGGCCTTTCTGACCTCTTTGGAAAGGAGTTTTTGAGTGTAGGGCAGCTACAAAGAAGGTCCTCTCTCATGACCACACCAATCCTGCTTGTGATGATGGCTGGGCTAAGAAGGGACTCTCCTGGTGTTTCAGGGCTTAGGAGGCTCAAAGAGAGATATAGAGAGAATCTGCCAGATAGCCTGAACCTGAGCTATATGTAAATGGAGGTGTTGTAACAGGTGAGTAGCATCATTCTTGTAATCAAGACTCTCACTGCAGCTCTTTATAATATCTGAAATTTCCAACCTTTCTTCAAAGGCAGCCCCATATAGAACACTTTACAGCTGTCTAAACAGGATATCACTAAAGACCTAACCACACTAGAGAATTACTCCACTTTAAATCCGGTTTCTGCCTCCTGCAAAGTTCTGGGATTTGTAGTTTAGTGAGGCTTTTAAAGGCTCCTCCCTAAACTACAAACCCCAGAATTCTGCAGGGGGCAGCAACCAGATTTAAAGTGGATCCAGCGTGATGAGGTTCTAAGGCAGGTATGACCATGGCCAGATTCAATGTCTCAAAGAATGAGTGACCCAGAAGACAGGATCCAGGTTCAGGGTTGAATCCCAGAGTACACCCAAGCTACAAACCTAGGATTTTGAGGAAGTGAAACCCCATCAAACACAGGCTGAATTCCAATACCCTGATCTGCCCTTTAACTGACCAGAAATATCTCTGTATTATCTGGATTAAGTTTAAATGTATTTGTTCTCATCCAATCCAGAACTGTTTCTCCTTGAGTATTTTAGCATAGGTAATTCACCCCCTCCCCATTCAGATCAGAAAAAGGAAAGCCAGGGGGGTCAAGAACTGCTCCCCACTAACAAACAAAAAAAACACCCCCAACAACCTTTGGGGGGCACATATGACCCCACAGAGTCATACTTTGCCTATCCCAAATTCAACAGAAATTTAAGAAAATGAATAGTAGTTTGGATCACATTCTAACACTTGATTTTCTTCTGGAAAAGAAGACACACAAAAATATTTCTTCATCTGTGAGTTTCAATGGAGAGTGGCTTCATTTCTAAATAACCTACCTCCAAGTCACTGTCAGGAGGGGGTGATGGGTTATTTTTGCGCCCTCTACCCCTTGATTTTGTCCCAGAACTCCTACATGTCCTTTCATCAAGATCCTTGATTGGTGTTGAGGGGCTCTGGACAGTGTCAAACTCTCCTGTAAACATTAAAAGTTCTGTAGAGTTTTTAACAGCATAACACACCGGACTCTATCAATTTTCTATGTCACTGTTCAAATAAGCAATGTGAGATATGGCAATTGACTTATAGTTCTTTAAAACATACTGCAATACTAGAAGCCAGACTCTGCCTTTAAAAAACACATCATATTTGGTGGGATAACTGTCCAATTGGGGGGGGGGGGGTAGCATTAATGCACTGCAGACTTTCAGATACTTTAAACTCATCAATTTTTGACAAACTAACTCACTCTCCCAAACTTCCTACAAGTATGTCTAGTAGAATTTCATTTCAAAATAATAATTAAATAAATACTTACTCTGACTTAAAAAAGATGTGTGTGGGTGTGTGTAAAAATTGTACCCATAACCCCTAATGTATGGGAAGGACTGCTAGGAGACTTACCAAACCTGTTGTAGTAGTTGAGACAACCCTGACCACCATTAGAACAACATTTTGACACACTGAGGGATTGTTAGGGATCGGAAGTGATGGTTCATATTTTGGATGAAAATACCAGTTTTTCAATACTCTCATATGTGAAGCCTGGAACAAGGAATATCATTATCTATTGAAGATATCACACTTGAATTTGCCTTTGTAAGAAAGTGCTCGAGACTATGCCTGGACTAGAGACTGCGTTCATTCTATGCCTGGACTAGAGACTGCGTCCTGCCCTCTGAGATTCTGAATAAATCTCTTCATCAGAACACTAAGAATAGTTGTGTACACTGTATGCGCATAAAGACAGAAGTCGAATGGAGAAGTGCTCAGCTGAAACATGTATTCCAAGACATGCTTATGGAATGTGGGCTAAAAAGGCACTGGGGTAAATGAATTTAATGCATACTGACATGATGAGTGAAGATGGTTTGGCTTGCACAAAAAGCTGCTAGGATCAGATGTAGATAGATTCAAACCTCTTATGCAGAAGTCAGGCTTGCATTGAAGTTTGTATAAAATCATCTCACAAGTCTATATTTAGCACTGTATCTTTATGAAAACCCATTCTTTCCTGAGTCACATCTTCTAAGAAAACAAGACGACCAAGAGTTGCTTCTACTGTAAAATCTAATTCACTGAAAGAAAAGAGAAGTGGAATGGCTGCATTTCTGCATATTCTTTGACATATGGATCTGTTCCCACCATATAAAAGAACTTATCAGATCATTTATGAAAGATAGCCACCACTGGAGCCAATGGGAAGATTGTGGTCATTCTAATGCCACTTCATTTGTTTCAAGATTGATTCTCAAATACAAAAATAATTTCTACAATCATGTTCTTTGAATTCTAGGTGAAACAAATCTCAATCACTAGTTTAGTATTTTAGTATGTCTCCCACCATGTCATCTGTTTGACTTTTAAAGAAAAGGAAACCACCACTATCCACTATCATCACCTAAACCCCAGTTTTAGAAGGCTTTTGGGGTACAACCAGCAGGAGAAGTAACTACAGAAATTGGATTTCAAGGCATCTTTAGAACTATATAGAAATAATCAACATTTTGACTTTGTGAATATAATTTCCAAAATGTTCGTATAACATTCAATGAATTATTAAAATCTAATTTATTGTAATTGTTTATTCTACAAACAAAACAAATAGAATTTTTTTCCAGTTCCCACTCTATAGTAATTGTTACCACATGATCCAGGCTTCATTTTTGGATCAAATATGCATACAATAGTTTACATTAACCATTAGTCAATACTATATCTAATCAGTAAATCTTGTATGTTCTGGATATTTAGAGCCAAGTTTATTTCATTAAGCTAATCTCTAAATCAGAAGAGCCAGCTGTCGCCTATTTAAAAGCAAGGTATGATTCTATTTTTGGTCAACGGAAGCCAACGGCTCTTTGAGCAAGTCTTGGTTTAATTGCTTGATTTTACAAGTAACAACAGTTCATGTTGATTTTTTCCTTACACTTAAAACGGATATTATATCTTGATTTTAAAATTGTATGTTAGATATAAAGGAACAGAATTAGCCCTCAAGGAAGATTGCATTAGAGAATGGTAAAAGATGTTCAGAGCCATATAATAACTACAGTTTTTTTTAATGTGGCACATATTTAGTGTCTAATTTTCATCCAGTCTTCCAGTTCTGATTATCAGCTATGAATAGAAGGAGGAAGGGAGAGGGAGAGATGTGACGATACAACACATAGGCTTCATCGTGCTGTATGTTAGGTAACAGTTTAAGCAACTTCTGCTAAGCTGTGTTCAGGATATGTGTTTGTGTGTGTTTTAGGGTTATTTAAAAGCTTTAAACGCTTTTAAAGTAATATATTTTATGTGGTGATTTTAATTGTTTTTAATATTTTGCTGCAATATTTTAATATTTAACTGATTCTTTTTGTGAGCTGCTTTGGGTGCCCCTTATATAAAACTGAAAAAGTAAAGACTTTCTGGATGTTTTCATTTTTTTGGAAAAAAATTCGAGCCATGAATGTTTGGATCCATAGATACAGAACCTGATGGTAAATGAACAAAATATGTTCACATAAATCTGTAGTTTAGATCCACTGGTTAAACAATATTTTTGTTGTTACAGCCAAATCAGGTCACTATGTGCTTTATATTTGTTCCGAGACATGTACACCTGTAATGTACATCAACAGCCAATGAACAAGAATGCAATAATGGTTAAATCATTTCACTAAAATTGTACATGTGTACTTTGACCAAAATATCATCTGCTTCTGTTGACACACTAGTTTTATTAATATTAGCTGGATAATATTTCTAATTACTTTAATAGTTGTATTTTCTTTAATTTGATAGCTACAGGAGGTTACCATAATTACGTTTTCAGTTACTTTCTACAATTGCTGCTTTGGAAAATAAAATTGGTAGTTTGGCAACTTGATGTAATAAAAGGGTGATGGCATTCGAAAAAATGGTGTAATTATTACTGGTATTGCGTTAAAGTACTTAAAGAACAGAACTCTTCGCAAAAAAAAGAAGTCTACAGACAGAATAAGGATTACAGCCTTATAACCACAGTTTCTCTTTATCTGGGTGGAATGCCAAACCTTCAAGGTTAGATCTAGTAATATTAATGCACACCTGACTTTCCAAAAGAAACAAGGTATACCAGAAGGTGCTTATAAGATAGTCTGTGGCCTCATCATAGATCCAGAGATATAGTTTTGTGGTTCAGAGCATGTCGAAGCTTTAGAAACTTTAAATCCTGAGTTTATTTAGTGCATTCCATTGCATATGACAGTATTTCAGTTTTCCAAACTATAGAGCTCAAGAATGAGAATTTTTAAATTCCAGAATAACCAATCTTCTCTTCAAAGAATGATCTGATATAAACTTTCCTCATCATTGCTAGTTTATCAACCTGATTCTTTCTAGTCGCACTTATTCTTTCTCTATGTCTCTTTATGGTTTTTAATGATTTTTCTCTATGAATTCAGATTGCTACAATGTAAACTTTCATTCTGTTTTTGTATAAGCAATATAATTCAAAATTTAGTTTTGCATTTTGCACATGTGTCCCAAGTACATAGTGGTTTTCTGCGCATAGTGAATGACAGTAAGCATCCAATTTTTACTTCCAAGCTGTACAGTTTTGGAAAAATGTTGATATTGCATCTGGAACAATGACAACATATATCTGAAAAGTTGGATAATTTTTTGATATACTGTTTTGTTTCCACATAAGTTACTCATGGGATCAGGAACTCCACTCTAAGATCATATTGACTATATTTACAGAGGTATCATGTATTTGTATGCTAAATAAGTTGCCTTATAAAATAAAGTATTATAATATATAATAATTTGCTATTCTAAATTTTATAAACCTTTCAAAACACATGTGTAACAAACAGCCCTTGTACCTGAAATTCAAGTTTGTCCACTTACATCTTGTAACAGAAGTACCATCCAACAGTACACAGTGTTACATTCACTCTGAAAATATACTACATGCCTCTATCCTTCAGTTAACACTTTAAAAATATACTCATCTTAAATGAGTGCAGTGTTTTGAATGTGCAGCCATGAAATTTTACAGCACTTTTTATCATGTAGTGTAGAATACATTGAACTCTTTTCTACCAGATTATTTGTTTCTAGTATTTTATAGTAGAATATTAAATTCTGGAAGAAAAATATGCAAGAATGCATTTTGTTATTATAGCATATTTATAATAAATAATAATAAAAGTGTTTCAATGTATAACAACATAAATATTCTAGTTATATAACTTACACATATGTATTTCATATACATGGAGTAAAATGGGTTAAATTTTATACAAATACCACATCCATATGTGTACACTTAGTTAGTATTGCCTATGACTTATCAATTAGCTCTCCCAGGGAGTCGCTTAGCCCCATCTTGCCTAGCTATGCCCTTGGGGCATTATTGGCAGTCCCTGTATGGGATTCTTTGAGAAGCCGAAGTTGTCTTGGATCTGGAATACACTGAGATTTGCTGCATTTGGCTGAACTCAGACTTTCCTGAAACTTGTTCATTCTTAGATGCAGCACACATCGGTGGTGTGCATTTTGTGGCCACCGCAGCCTCGGGTTGGCTTGAAACTGAACTATATGGTCAGTGTTGAATGGTAGTCATGTTTTTGAATAAGTGTGTTTAAACTGTCCAGTCCAGTTGAAACAAGTGAACTAAGAAAGAAACAGCTGTATACCTTGCCCTAGATTGTACTTATCAATCCAAATCAGGGTTCTGTAGTGGTTTTCTACTAAAAACGGCTCCTTACTGAAGACTTTAAAAATCTCTAACATGCTGCTTACAGCAAACAGCACTATCAGGAGCAAACAGCTGTCAGATATGGAAATACTATAAGCGAAAAATCAGCACAGCACAATCCAGAAAGTAAGCATGCTATTGAGTTTTTTAGCAGGTTTAAACATATACCTTGGCTCTCCGATTTAACTGTTCCAAAATATTGGCCTTTCTCTTTTGTTCCAATCTTACATCTATGTGTATGTATTTCCTCTACTGTTTTTTTTTAATTCTACAATTCATTATTGTTAAACAGCCGTAACAATTAAAAAGCAGTTGCAAGGCCAAGTACAATTTCTCAACACATTTTTTCACCTGGATAGAGGTCTGTACCTGGTTGACTAGTTAGTCCAGGGAGAGATTCCTGAAGCTGGTATGTTGATGAGGATGAAGAGGTACCATCTGTAGTGTTGTTTGAGGTCATATAAGCTCCATATGTTGATGGTGAATAATACTGTGGATATTGATTTTGGCCAAAAGTTGTATATGATGGGTATTCCTGGAATGATAGAAACTAGGTTTTTTAAAAATTCATGTACAATTCTTCCCATTCTGAATATTTAGAAATGCTAAAAAGACTACTTAATAATTTGCTTGAGCTCTATAGAAAAAATTAATTATCATACCTGTTGTGAACTACTGAAGTTTGTAGAATTTGAGACTGAATTGTTTGCATAAATAGAGGATGATGGTGTAAAACTAGAACCTAGAGTTAAAAGAATAATTCCCTATAAGAACTAAGCAAATTAGCAAACGATGCAAGCAAATTAGCAGCAAAAAGGTAAGGTTTAATATTAAAATATAAAGAACATGTACATTAAACCTGCAGATATGTCAGCCCAATCTTCTATTAAAAACATCTGTAATTCATAACTATGTATAAAGAGTAATAGCATTGTCTGCTTAAAATGTAATAAGCTGCTAACAGGTCAATTCCCTTCTACCACCATTACATTCACATTCAGCAATTCAGCTTCACCAAAGTACTAATTCACCAGTTCAATGTGAGGATATGTTTGAACCTCATTCTATGAATTAATGAGCCTGCTCATGCTTATCATGCCTGCACTGGTATCTGGTCCTTTCCATGCTGGGAACCCAGTTTCAGGTATAATATGGTGACTACTGTTGCTTTTAGGAAATTAGAAGCTAAATGTAAATAGAGAGATACAAATTTTAATGCAAATTTCCTATGACTAAAGTTCCACTAGTCCATCTAATCATGAGTACACTTCCTTAGAATTGTCAGTTTCAACAAGTCACTGGTTTCCCAGTCTCCCTTATTTGAAATCTTTTAAATTGAAAGCTTAATAGATGAACTGGAAATTGACAATCTTATTATTAAACTAAAATGGAAGAGAGATGAGAGAAAACCTATCTGTACCATTTTCATTTGTTAGGCATTATAAAAGTGAAAGGTAACTATTAGAAAACCAATACGGCCATTTCATATCTCTCCTCTTCATGAAAATAAGCAAGAAGGGAAAACATTTTGGAAATGACAATTTTATTAATTCTTCTAAATGTATAATTTATTTTATCTAATTCCTCACAAGGAATTCTACATTTATAATGTCACATCCTCATAAAACTTCCTTCCACTTTGATGTTAAACACGTTAAGGTAATAGACAGGAGGGGACCCACAGATTGAGAACCATGGCTCTAAAGCCATCAATATACACAACATATGGTTACTTTTGTTGTTTGCTATCAAATGTCAGCAGCATGTCAGGAAAATCCCATTAATGGAGACCTTCCTGGTTTCCTTCAGTTTACCACTGAATTTGAATGGCATGGCATTGTGTGACTCAGGGTGGGTCTCAAGGTGATATTGTCGCCAATACCCAACCAAAGTTGCCTAGTCCTGCTCTAAATTTAAAAAGTTGTCACAAAAGCTTGAAGTATATATGAAATACCAAATACTCAATAGAGCAAAATTATCTAGATCAAACGTCATAATATAATGAAGAAACAAAAACCTATGATACGTGTAGTGAAAGGACCTATCGGACTATAACGTATCCAAACAAATAAAGAAATAGAGATTAAAAAAGTAAAAACACATCTAGGAAAATTGATAACTGACCTGGCATTTGGTATGAGTATGGTGTTTGGCCTGGCTGTGGTGTGGAGAATCCTGGGCTATAACTAAGGCACCCAGTCTGCAAGGGTGATTGTGTTTGTGAAAGTCCGCTTTCCGTCTTGATGCCTGGCAACATTACACCCAAATCTGTGTAAGAAATTAATTTTCAACTTCTTTTTACAATTGAAAGGAAAGCTCACAGGAGTCTGCTATGCCAAATATATAATTATTGCAACATAATAAAAAACAACTGGAAATACCATAAGTAGGTAAACTGTAAGGTTGCCCAGTCTGTGAATACGCTGTATATACTGCGGGCTGCTGCATTCCTGAATATTGGGTCTGACCAGCATAGCCAGACATTGTTTGAGCTGCTGGAGTAGACAGAATATGTGGATAGGGCCTAGACAGAAAGGAGGAAAATACTGTCACTTGTAACACAAAAATGGATGGAAATCCAATTCAAACAAAGAAGTCAGTAACCTCCCCCACCCCTAGAATTAATTACAGAAGTACATGACAATGATTACACATTTTAGCCCTGAACCTTCTGTCTTTATAGTAGCCGGAAACAGAAAAAATAAATAGATGAAGCATTTATTGTAGAATAGAGATAAATAATGGCAAAAAAAACCTTGATCATCGAAATTTTGGTATTTTGAAGTAAGGAAATTTTTTCTTGCCATGGTAGATCCCACTAAAATTTTCCAATATTTGGTTTTGACAGTATACAGCATAATTTCTAGAATGCTTAAGCACTAGAATGTATAGTAACAGTAAAATGGCAATAAAAAGCACACCATAGAAGGGGAAGACCCTCAAATTGGAATCCCCTAATGGACTATTTTCCATATTATGAATTAATAATAATAATAATAATAATAATAATAATAATAATAATAATACCCTGCTTTATCTCTCCCGCAGGAGACTTAAATCAGCTCAACATCAAAACATCATTAAAATATACAAATATTAAAACAGCATTAAACATCATTAGTATTAAAACAAATCAGATTAAATTGTAAGGATTCACAAATAAATATAGCTGTCAATATAGTGATGTTTTTATAAGAATCCTCATTGTAACCATCTTTGGAACTCTATGAATGATTCTAAAGACAATATTGTATTATTACTAGAAAAAGGTGCAGAAAAGGGTGAAATGATAAAGAGGCTGGCACAATTTCCTATGAGGAAAGTTAACAGTGTTTGGGTCTTTTTAGATTGAAATAAAGATCATAAAATATTGTGAAAAATGAGAACAGGATATACAATTATATACACTGTGCCAAATAGGAATGGATGTTTCTAATTTGCATACTAACATCTGTTGTCATCGATTGAATCTGACATGGTGAGAAATTAAGGGTTGATAAAGGGAATAATTGTGTAGATGACTACTTAAATTTGGAATAAAAGATAGGTACTCATTGGTCAGTTTTAATAGGGGATTAGACACTCATGGAAGATAAATCTAACTGGGACTGCTAGTTATGATATCTACATATTACCTCAGTATCAGAGGCAGTATGTTTCTCCTGCTTGGAGGCTTCTTGCTGTCCACTATGGGAACCAAATACTGGCCTAGATTGGTGTGATCCACCATGACTCTTTTGCTGTTCGACTGACTTATCAGTCTATCTTATGTGCAAGTGGCCTATAGTAAAAACTTTGCCCGAAACGGGAGATCAACACCAAATGGGATAATATAAGGCATTACTGAAATATACAGGTAATTTGTATTAATATGAGCTACTTAAGCTTACTCTGTTCTATTTCTCTTAAAAAATACATTTTACACAGATTTTGGAATCTATTGGTTAAATAAGTCAAATTACATTAAGTAGGCTGAACACTAATACAGTGATCGAAATGGAACTTTCCTGTAACTCCGAATGATCTTAATTTCACTCTGAAATGAATTGCTAGTCCAAACTAGAGAAAACCCACTGAATCAATTGTTGCATGGAAATCACTGTTCATATCAATTCCACTGCTATTTTAAGGATGAAGCAACAACTGACATCAACGGTACTGAATTTTGAAGTATCAATTTTAGTAAAGAGTGCATTCAGAAAAATGATGTTTCTCTAAACACAAAAATGTATGGAATCTCAAGAGAAACTCAGAATTTATTTTCTATAAAATCTAGTAATGGTGTGCCATTACTAGATTTTATGCTATTACTAGATTTTCTACCAAGTTTAGAAACTAATAAATGATCTGAGATAAATAATATGTAATAAAACACAAAAAGATGCATGCTCACTAACTTGGAGGGATACAGCTGTGTTGAGTACTGATGTGATGATCTTGGACTGTAGCCACTACTTGTTATAACTGTAAAATACAGAGGACACAGAAGAACATATTTAATGGAATATTTGCAGACAAAACTGTACGTAGAAATAATTTGAAGTATGTTGAATCAAGGTACAATTTTCCTCAGATCAAAATCAATGCAGTACAGAAAACATTCAAATTATTGTCTGTTATTGTCTAATATATAACATGGCTTTACATTGCATCAGTTCTGCAGAACAGGACATGCAAAACTTAATACAGCCCAATATTCTTGTGAGATAGTGCACCAAGTATTTAGTAAACCTATTTTGGAGAACATATGACACACATGATAAAACATTCACCTTAAGTATATTAACTCTACCATGAATACTTAATTTGAATTATGCTAATTATTCTAATAAAGATTTATTTACAACAAGTACAGTTTAACCAACTGAATAATAGCCGGAGGAACCACTATGACCAAATATTTAACAGCTTCTGGATAAGCAATTAATTGTGAATTGGCAAACAAACCAGATGAAATGTTATCCCCAATAAGAAAAGTCTCAGATAAAACCAATTAACCGAATGACCAAAAAGGTTTAACAGGATAAGCAAAGGCAGGAATTATAAAATGTATTCTTTCAATACTGAAATGTACTTAACTACAGGGGATCTGTTTGCAGTTGTGAAAAGCAGAGACCTAAAGAGGCAGGAGAATCTCAGAAACAATTTGATATAAATGATGAAAGGTAGCAGACACAAGTCTAATATATCATATTCAGAATTTAAGCAATATGAGACACGTGAAAGGAATGATTTTGCAAGCAGAAGTACCAAGATTTCACTAGTTGTGTGTTTTGTAAATACAAAATTAAAGAGCTCACAATTTTTGAATGAGTATTAATATTTATGCCTCTCCTCCCAGAAAAAAAAAAACATTGAGTCTAAAGCCAAAGTACAAACTTTATCTTTCAAAGGGAGTACAATATCTAAAGTTGTAATCTCAGCCACACTTGACAACAGAACTCCCATCTTACCTGGATTGAACTTTAATTTATTTATCTACATCTGATCCTTATTTCCACCCTGAAAACAATGCAAAATACACACAGATTTCTTGTCATCTGTTGAAAGAAAGCTTATTGATGACTGCCAACCCGCAGACTTTGGAAGAGCTCCACCAACAGCTTCCTTTAAATGTTAAACAGAATAGCAAAGAGTACTGAGTGGTAGTACACAGGACAATGGTCAAGAGACTGAACGACATTCCACCAGAAGGGTATCTTGGGAATATTTAGCAAAGGAGGGTCAGAACTGCTGCAGAACAATACCACAAGTCCACCAAACTGCCCAGAAGAATATGAGTAATGGTAGTAAATGAGAAATCTAAGAAAACCAAGGATGCTTTGTCCTGTTCCCAGCAGAAGCAATTGACCCAAGTTGTTTCTGTTTGAAAACCAGGCCTGAATCCAGATTGGAATGGATCCCTGTAATCACTTTCATACAAGAAATCCTAGAGTTGTGCTTCTAACACTCACCTTAACTTTAAAACTTTAACTTTAAAAAGGAAGAATACATGGCCAATAATTATCTCAGGTGGTGGGAGTCCAATGATGGTCTCTTCACTGTCTTACAGTTGCTTCTTTTAAAGGGATTGGAATGCAGCCCTCTCTCAAGGAAGCATTTGCAACCTCCAACACCCAATTCTGCAGCCTTCCTGCCAACTGTAATCAGACAGGATGGACATAGGTCTAACAGTATAAAGTGGTTGGCCTCATTTTCTGAAACAATTTGTTCACATTATAATGTTGAACAAACTAAAACTCATCAATCAAAACTCGATAAATGTTTGCCTCAATTTATTTTCCAGTCTTTACCATCAGTATGATCTAGTCATAATAGGACATGGTATCATATTTCTTATACTTCCACCTTACCCTTTTAACTGTGGTTCCTTTGACTATGTAATATTGCTCAATAGCTTCTTGACTACAGAAAGCACTTGCATTGGTTATGCATTCTTACAGAAGCAAGAAAAGTATGTGAACATTTTAGGAAGGTCACATATTTCTAAATGTTATTATATATTCACTAGCTGTGCCCTGCCACGCGTTGCTGTGGCCTTTAGTAAGAGTTTTGAAGTCTCTGCCTGGCCTCTCTTCCTTCCTTCACTCACCCTCTTTCCCTCTTTCTCTCTCTCACACTCCTTCCTTTCCTCTCTCTCTCTCTCTCTGTCTCTCTCTCTCTGGCATCCCTCCTTTCTCCCCCTTCTTTATGCTTGTGTGTAAACTTGAGTATTTTCTGTTGGTCATGGGGGTTCAGTGTGGCATTTGCCCCGATTCTGTCATTTGTGGGGTTCAGAATGCTCTTTGATTGTAGGTGAACTATGAATCCCAGTGACTCCAACTCCCAAATGTCAAGGTCTATTTCCCCCAAACTCCATCTGTGTTCATATTTGGGCGTATTGAATGCTTTGGTCCGGATCCATCATTGTGTCTTCAAAGTCGCCCCCTCCCTTCTCCCCACCCCTTCCCTCCCTGAGTCACTCCTTCCCTCCTCCCACCCCCTCCAGAAAGACACGCCCCCTCCCTTCACCCCACCCCTTCCCTCCCTGATTGACTCCTGGAAGGAAAGGGGTGGGGCGAAGGGAGGGGGGGGAGGAGGGAGGAGTGACTCAGGGAGGGAGGGGGGGGAAGGGGGGGAGCCCTTGAAGACACGCCCCCTCCCTTCGCCCCACCCCTTTCCTCCGTGACTCACTCCTTCCCTCCTCCCTCCCTCTCCGGTTAGACACGCCCCCTCCCTTCACCCCACCCCTTTCCTTCCAGGAGTGTCTCAGGGAGGGAAGGGGTGGGGCGAAGGGAGGGGGTGTGTCTTTCCAGTGGGGATGCGGCGCGGCGAGGCTTGGAGTGTGCGGAGCGGGGCTTGGAGGCAGCGTGGGAGGAGTAAGATGAAGGAGGGGGTGGAGGGAAGGGGGCGGGGGGAAGTTGCGTTGTTTGTGTGTGTGTGTGTGCCGTGGGGAAGTGCGGTGACGTGTTCGCGCTGGGCGGGGCGAGGGAGGGAGGGAAGTGCGTTGGCCGTTCGGCCATGTGTGCTCGCGCGCTGGGGACTTTGCGCCAGTGCGCATGCTCAGTTGTTTTGCCGTTTTTTCTGTGTGTGGTTGTGTTGTTTTGATTTCTGACTGGATTAGTTTGTACCTAGTGGGTTGTCCTTGGGGCATGGCAATTTTGGTGGAGTTTTGTGGAGGGGTTTTAGAGTTTTGCTTCCCCGTTGGACGCCAGTAGGAAATTTATAGATATAGATTTAACCTCTTCATCCTGTATTAGTGTTTCCCAACTTTATTTTGACCAGGGCCAATTGACCAGGGCCCACTTTGACCAGGGACAACTCTTCAACATTAGTACCAAAAGGGGCAGGGCTAGTCAGCTATGCAGAAAGGAGCAGAAATAAAATAAATTAAATGAAATAAATAAATAAGGAGGAAGGGGATTTGCAGACCGAATTTTCATTCTCGCAGCCCACTTTTGGACTGCGTCCTACATGCTGGGAACCACTGTCATATATATATATATATAATGGCACACAAATATTATATGTTTTCAACATTTATTTATTCACAATGCATTCTATAAGTAATATTAGTATATGAACTAATTCAGTATCTAGTGGAACCCTTTTGATCAGCTATGACTTCTAGTATACTTCTTTAAATGCCATTTTTTCACATGGGTTTTGTCCATACTACCTATAAAATTGTTTCAACTTAATGATTTTTAAAGGGCTCTTGGCATGAACAGTTTGCACTGTTTCCTGACACATCATGTTGATTGGATATAGGTCCAGATTTTTACAAGGTCATCTTAAAACATTTTATTTATTTATTTATTTATTTAGTACAGTTATATACCGCCCCTCTCAGCCTTCCGGTGACTCGAGGTGGTTTACAAGGCAAGAATTCAATGCCACCAAGGACACAATTACAATATACAATATAAAAAACATCAGCAACAATAAAATCAAACATTATAATGACAAATACTTCAATCGATAATCATTAAAACAATGTCCAGTTCCGCCATATAGTTATTCCATTATTATATCAATTACTCTGTATTTTCAAATGCCCGCTCAAATAGCCATGTCCTAAGATTCTTCCAGAATGATAGGAGCGAGAAAGCTGATCTAATCTCCCTAGGAAGGGTGCTCCATAGCTGAGAGGCCACCACTGAGAAGGCCCTGTCTCTCGTTCCTGCCAATCGTACTTGTGATGATGGCGGGACCGAGAGCAGGGCCTCTCCAGATGATCTTAAAGTCCTTGAAGATTCATAAGGGGAGATTCGTTCGGAAAGGTAAGTTGGGCCAGAACCATTTAGGGCTTTATAGGCTAAAGCCAGCACTTTGAATTGTGCCCAGTAGTGAACTGGCAGCCAGTGGAGCTGGCACAACAAGGGAGTTGTATGCTCCCTGAGACCCGCTCCAGTTAGCAATCTGGCTGCTATCCGTTGGACCAGTTGAAGCTTCTGGACAGTCTTCAAAGGCAACCCCACGTAGAGAGCATTGAAGTAGTCTATACGGGATGTGACTAGAGCATGGACTACCATGGCCAAGTCAGGCTTCCCAAGGTACGGGCGCAGCTGGCACACTAGTTTTAACTGTGCGAATGCTCCCCTGGTCACCTCTGAAACCTGGGGTTCCAGGCTCAGTGACGAATCCAAGATCACACCCAAGCTGCAAACCTGTGTCTTCAGGGGGAGTGTGACCCCGTCCAACACAGGTTGTAACCCTATACCCTGTTCGGCCTTGCGACTGACCAGGAGTACCTCTGTCTTGTCTGGATTCAATTTCAATTTGTTCGCCCTCATCCAGACCATCACAGCGGCCAAGCACCGGTTCAGGACCTGAACAGCCTCCTTAGTAGTAGGTGGAAAGGAGTGACAGAGTTGGACATCATCTGCGTACAGATGACATCGTACCCCGAAACTCCGAATGATCTCTCCCAGCGGCTTCATGTAGATGTTAAACAACATGGGAGACAGTATTGAGCCCTGAGGAACTCCACAAGACAATGGTTGTGGGGTTGAACAGGTGTCTCCCAGTAACACCTTCTGAGATCGACCTTCTAGGAAGGACCGGAGCCACTGCAGAACAGTTCCTCCAAGGCCCATTCCCGCGAGGCATCCCAGAAGGATACCGTGGTCGACGGTATCGAAGGCCGCTGAGAGGTCCAGCAGAACTAGCAGGGACATACTCCCCCTGTCTAACTCCCGGCGTAGATCATCAACTAAGGCAACCAAGGCTGTCTTGGTTCCATGACCGGGTCTAAAGCCAGACTGTGCCGGATACAGATAATCCGTGTCTTCCAAGAATACCTGAAGTTGTGAGGCCACCACACGTTCCAGGACTTTGCCCAAAAAGGGTAGATTGGAAACAGGCCAATAGTTGACGGATTGAGTGGGGTCCAGTGATGGTTCTTCAACAGCTGTTTTATTATAGCTTGTTTTAAGCTCGCTGGAAGGGAGGCATTAACCACCACCTTTACCCACTCAGCCAATCCCCCTCTGGCCTCCTTTAGAAGCCAGGATGGGCAGGGGTCTAGGATGCATGTGGTGGCCCTCATCCCTCCAAGTATCTTGTCCACATCCTCGGGTTTCACCAATTGAAATGAATCTATTAAAACCGGACAAGCAGATGCTCATGTTATATCCTCATTGAATTTCTTGCTCTATGCCCACTCTTTGGTATATCTACTTGTATGGTTAGGAATGCTGTCAAATTGCATGATGCACTTGCAATTAATATCCAGCTCCCTGATGGATAACTTGACACTCTCATCTGATGCACTTCAAAATCTATGGCTGCAATCTCTCCAGCTGCAAAGGCACAAAGCAGGCCCAATCATCATGCTTCCATTACAATGCCTGATTATTGGCATGAAGTTCTCTTTTTTGAATTCAGTATTTTGCTTTATTTTACTGCCAAATGTAATATTTCTCACTGATACTAGAACTCCCTTTCTGGTTGGTTTCCTCCTGGCATCTTCCCACGAATATCATGCTTGTTTAGGCTTTTTAAATGCATGAGTCAAGATTTTTTATGATAGTGACATGCAGCTCTTTGGATATTCCTCTGAGGTCCTTTGAAACTTCTTGAATGCCAGTTTGTTCATAGGACAACTGCACCTGTGTAGACTGAATTTAGTCTGGAACCTTCTCAATTTTTAGACTATTTTTATGACAGTAGACTGATAGAGCCCAGGCATGTAGCCGGGGGGGGAGGGGGGGCTCGAGGGGCTTCAGCCCCCCCCCCCCGAAATTCTCATGGTGGTTCGCGAAAAGGCTTTACTGGTGCATTATTTAAACTGTTATGTTTATTCATATCATGATCTGATCACCATACTCAATATATCCCATATGCATAGGGGTATTGGGGTAACGATACAAAAGGTTGGCTAGGGTAGACCCACTTTCACTCAGACTCAGCCCCCCCCCCAACCAAACTCAGCCTCCCCCCCCCCAAATCGAAATCCTGGCTACGGGCCTGATAGAGCCCCATAATGTTCAGAACTGGTTTTGTAACCCTGTTTAGATTGGTGAATAATAATTAGAGCGCCATCATATATAGGGTCGGGCCTCTAAAACTCAATCCTTCACCCCTATTTAATTTAAATGGGTTCTCTATAAATTTAAATGGGTTCTCTATAAATCCTATGGGATAGTTAGAAAAGGAATGCTTTTGATTCATGAGAGTCATTGTAAAATGATGGGATTTTCTTGATCTTTCTTATTTACAAACTTTTTCTTATCACTGGTAGTAGTGTTTATACTATTTATAATAGAAATAAATACTGTTTGAACCAATGGTTCCCAACCTGTGGTCCATGGACCACAAGAATGAAAATATGGTCCGCGGCCTCACCATTACTACACCCTTGCCTCGAAACTATTCAGCAATGAAAGCGACTGGTCTTGCAAAAGCCACTTATAGTGCTGAGGCAACAGGGATGTTGGAAGGAGAGAGTCTGACTATCCACAAAAGATCACTACTACCACGTCAGCTCTAGATTATTAAATATGATTTTCTCTGGGTGAGCTGATGACACACAACTAGAGCTGATGTGGTCTTATCCAATGCAATTTTCTGAATCAGCACCCCAAATAACCAAACCGAATCTAAAGTTGACCAAAAACAGATTCGTAACCCTTTTGGTACTAATGTTGGAGAGTGGTCCCTGGTCAAAGTGGTCCCTGGTCAAAAAAGGTTGGGAACCAATGGTTTAAACCCTGTCAATTGGGATTTGACAGAACCATGAGTATATTATGTCTTTACCTGATCCAGTAAATGTGTCCAGAGATCCATCTCCACTTGTTGTTGTTGTTGATTCACTGGTATTCATAGGCTCTGTTTTGACTGCAAGAAGAGACACTATATAGAAGAATAAGTAAACATAGGATTTTACTTCTAAATTAACTTATGTTACAATAATAATAATAATAATACTTGTGGTTTAACAAAAGTATGCACACATTGATCGTATGTCATAATACCGACTTTTTCACAATCAGAGCTTTAAAACCATGCTCATACTGCTTTTTACCATTTATTCAGATACAGTGTGCCCTCATGGGGGTTACGTTATAGGACCACCTGCGATAAGTGGAAAACCACGAAATAGGGATGAGGAAGAGGAGGAGGACTGTGTCTTACCCTGGGGCTTGTCTTAGGTCTGGGCCTCTGCTGCTCCCCGCTCCTTCCTCGGAGGCTCTTTGGGAGCCGAGGCCCAGCCCGGAGATTGCTAGGCTGGGCTGAGGCTTGGTCTTCCCTCTTCGATGGTGGCCTCCCGGGCTGGGCCTCGTGGCCAAGGCTGGCAGACAGGCCTCTTGCACTTGTGCCAGGGAGGGGAGGGGGCGTGCTGCCATGTCTCCCACTGCCGACACATTGCAAGGGAACAGGAGGGAGATACGTGCCATCTCTTCCCCCACGCACATGTGTGGGCGTGTGCGCACGCATGAGAGAGAGTGAGAGCAGGAAGAAAGGAGGGGAGGGGAGGGAAAGAGAGAAGGGAACATGCCTGCCTTCCTGTGGTGTGTAGGGCTCCTTTCCTCTGCTGCTTGGTGCCTTTGCACTCACCCCATTCCGGCCTCTGCATCCATCACAGGCGCCTCTTTGAAAAAGGAAGGGAGGGGGGAAGGGGTGGCATAGGGCCAGGTGGCATGTTGTGTTGTGGCACAGCATGTGGTTCCTGGAGCGCTGGGCCAGGCGATGCATTGGAAGGAATGTGTTGCTAGTGTCTGGCTCCAGGAGCCACTGGGGCGCCCTCCTCTCCTCCTCCTTTCCTCACGCCTTCTCCCTGTGCTGACTGAGCCTTTCCCTGCTTCTCTTGCCAGGAAGCAGCAGTGGTGCCATGGGGACCCTCATGCCTCCTCACTGGGGAGCCATGCCAACCACCACTGGAGCCCCTTCCCACCTCTAGAGTGCCTGGAAGACCTCTCTCACTCCCTCTCCCTCTCTCTTGCCACCCAGCCAGATGCAGATGCCATTGCTGTATTTGCTGTAACCCTCCCCCATGGCTTGAGGGGGGGGGGGAGAAGAAAAATCTGTGAAACAGCGAGCCCGCAATAAGCAAATTGCGAAGTAGCATGGGAACACTATACATCTTAATGTAACTCCAGTGCACTTTCCAGCCATGAAAGTCAGAATATATTACAAAAGAAATAGTGGAGAAAATTATTTTGGAGGAATAAAACCAATTGTAAGATAGCTTGATTTATGCTAGATAAAATCAATATGTGGTAGAAAGTCACAAATAGACTTAGAACAGCAACGATACAAAATATATCATCCAAATGTTTCACTAATAATAATACTTGAAATAGGATTTTGACTAGTTAATCTATTCATGGGCAGGTGTCTATGTAATTTCCTTACACCAAATGGAAGGCCCCTATTTGAACAAGAACAAGAGAGAATTTTCCTGATACCCCCTTGAAGTCTTATCCAGAAGCCCCATCACACTTGAGCATTTTCCCACTTCAATCCACTTTAAAGGCTATGACTGCCTCCTGCAGAATTTTGGGGTTTCTAGTTTAGGGAGGCCCAGGGCTTCTCAGGATGAACAGTTTAAAGTTGTTGTTTATTCATTCAGTCACTTCTGACCTCATGGACCAGCGCACACCAAAGGTCCCTGTCAGCCATCATCATTCCCAGCGCCTTCAAAGTCAAGCCAGTCACTTCAAGGATACCATCCATCCATCCATCTTAAAGGATTTCAGGATTTAAAGCAGTTTAAAGGCCCCTCCATAAACTTCAAACTCCAGAATTCCGCAGAAGGCAGTCACCACATTTAAAGAGGATAGAAGTGGAAACGTGCGCAAGTGTGATGAGGTCCCTGGGTTTAAGGACTGTTGGAGAGAATAACAGTGAGAAATTAAAAATGCAATCCAGACTCAAAGATGTGGCTGCAGTGGGTAAGGAATAGGTAGATTTTTCCTATTCCACCACATATTTGTTTTTATCTTTTCCCAGCAGAACAGCCCTCATGTCAGCACAATCCCTTCTGCTCAGGAATATCTCAGCTAACAAAGCCTTTGAGAAAGAAGTTCCTTTTCAGAAAGACTTTTTAAAGTCTGCCATGACCCTTTTTTCCTGCTATCTATCTGGAATCAGCATTGGGGTTGGGAAGGTATGAAGGAGGGCTAGAAAAACACAGACTTTCAGTAATGAATTACAGCAGGGTATCTGCAGTAAACAAAGCATTAAAGCTTCTACTGGTAAATAATGAGATACAATGCTAATGTTAACAGTTTTGTGGGCACCTCAAAACTGACCACTTCAGGAGGAGTAAAGCTGGCAGAGAAGGTGATTTCAACATGGAGGTGATTACATATGAAGCTCTAGAACTGGATTGAGGCTTGGTGGTGTTTTAACACACCTCCTACCCATCTCCAGGCACTGCAGTACCTGTGACTTCATGGTGGTAGAGGATTTGGATTTTTTTCCCCCCCCCCCCCCCCCCCCCCCGCTTCAATTGCAAGTGCAGATCACCAGAGGTCTCATCCCTTAATTGCTTGATGTGATCTACACCTAAGCATGCTAATGCACATTATGGGCTCCTTTTTGGAGTACCCCTTATTTTGCTTATCATGGTTTAAGCCTTTTAATGTACACTCCTGCATGCATTCACACCATGCATAATTTAAACACCAGGTTCTCAAGCTGCTTACACACTGCATATATTATTGAAAACTTACTTGACCAAATTGTTTCAATATGCATGTTCCCAAGTTTAGATAAAAATGTTCACTGGCAAATGTTGGTGTGCTCCTCTTTTTGTGGTATAAGAATCTAACCCTATTCTTACTATTTCATTTTGCTATACATAGTATAGTCCTCTAAGGAGATGAGGAAAGGCTGTATGGCTAGAAAAGGAGAGGCCAGTAAAGATATATGGTATGTGAACACAGAAATGCTGGACCACTCTAACAACCACCATGTCAGACTACACAGAGAAGCCATTGAAATCCACAAGCATGTGGACAATTTCAACAGAAAGGAGGAAACCATGAAAATGAACAAAATCTGGCTACCAGTATTAAAAAACTCTAAAATTAAAACAGCAAAACAGCAGAGGGAAAACAATCAGGGACATCTAATCACCTCTCAACAAAAGATTGCTCCAGGCACTGCCAGGCTATCAAATGCTAATCAAGGTGGTCAGTTGAAACATTCACACCTAGCTCCAGCAGACAAGAGTCCTTTGTCCCACCCTGGTCATTCCACAGATATATAAACCCTTTTCCTAGTTCCAACAGACCTCACTACCTCTGAGATGCTTGCCATAGATGCAGGCAAAACGTCAGGAGAGAATGCTTCTAGAACATGGCCATATAGCCTGAAAAAACCTACACCAACCCAGTCATAACATAGTTTAAGTACTGCGATTCCACACTTGTTTTTGTAAATGAGATCCACAATGATCTGACTTCTGTGGACTAAACATTCTTTGCCATGAGACGTAGACTTATGTATATAAGAATGAAAACATTAAAAGATATCTAATATAACTTATAGTAACACAGTTCCTAATGTCTTCATTATTTATAGTAGGACTTATAGTAGATTGTGTTTTTATTACAAAAGTGTTCTGACAAGCAGAATGAGATATGAGAACTAAAAAAATACAAAGCAAAATATAAGATACTTAACACACCACTCAGAAAGTCAGCCACACACATGCGCAATACCAGGATTGCTCATACTTGTTGCAGAAGAAGGAGTGCTACAACTCAGCAACCAGTCTGCAGTGTTTAAAACAGTCATGTTGTCTCCTGAGAATTGGAATGGTATACAATTGTTCATTGCCTGGATATCTATGTAACCTTATTTGTTATAATTACAGCAGAATCTTGTTTATCCAATATAAATGGGCCAGCAGAACGTTGGATAAGCAAAAATGTTAGATAAGAAGTAGGGATTAAAGAAAAGCCTATTATACGTCAAATTACATTATGATTTTACAAATTAAGCACCAAAACATCATGTTTTTCAACAAATCGACAGAAAAAAGCAGTTCAGTCCACAGTAACATTATGTAGTATTTATGAATTTAGCACCAAAACATCACAATGTATTGAAACAGCTGTGGATCTGGGCGGGAGGCAGACTGCGTTGGATAATACAGAATGCTGGATGAGTGAAGGTTGGATAAGCGAGACTCTACTGTATATATTTTCCTAGATCAAATGAACTCAGGACTCTGTACGATAAACTCAGCTGAACTGGTATTAAACCATTTGTAATATCAATTTAATGTACAAAAATAATTTTCAATAAGAAAAAAATGAAAAATTATCACACTATTTTAGACTAGGAAATAATCACAACTTTTGTTTATACAACGATTCTAATCACATTAAACTACACAAGTTAAATATTACTGTTTTCAAAATTATGTGTGCGGTTTGATTTGCATATTACCAACCAAGGGATTACAGAATATTCACAATTTCCCCCTATTTTTGATGGCACTTTTTCTACCGGAGAGAGCATCTAGGTCCTCCAGCAGAACTCTATAGTGAATGTCCATCTGAATTTGACCACAGAACCCCATTGGAGGGCCTTCAAATGCCCGGAGAAGTCCTTCAGCACAACTTCAGGTGCAAATGGACCATAGAGTTGTATTGGCAGACTAAGATATTCCTAAACAGAAAATAGCCAAATCCACAAATAATCAAATCTGAAAATGGCAGACTGAAAATGTGGAAGGCTGATTGGGTATATATGATATGACTGTGGGTTCAGGAACCAGTTGAATTACAGCATCAATAGAAGAAAATCTTAGGTATAGTTAATAAGAGCAACATAATGATAGAAATAATGGGGTGTGTCTGCATTTATTTAATTTATAGCCCTCCTCCTATGTTACTTTGCTATCCAGAATATACAAATTTCCTTCTTCAAAAGTCGATCTACTGCCAGCATAAACCAGGTAAACTCTCAAAGTATCAAAATCCTTTTTAAGGTCAGTTTTTACTCACCACTTGTCCCATTTGTTGTAACAGATGTACTACTAAGGTTAGATTTGTCCAGCTTAGAAGTACCCGGTGTTTCACTGTTTCCTACAAGATTGTGAGGGCTTCCTAGATCCTGCATTTCCATAGATCTATTAGAGAGAGAGAAAAGTAATGCTCTCAATTATATTACTGGCATTATGGAAGTGTGCAAACAATCCTTTGTACTAGACATTTATATAAACAATTTGATTTTATGTATCCTCAGACCTATGCATACATGTTTGTATGAAGAAAAATGCATTATAATCAATTTCATACCCTTCCACTGAAATGATGTTTTTCTCTCAGTCCTAGCTGACTATTTTGAAAACTTTGCAACCCTAGTTGAACTAGATCACAGAATTCCACTGTAAATGTCAAGAGATATGCATGTGTCATGAAAGGAGAGGTTGAACAAAGCCCTGAGCAAGAAAATGAACAATAAAATAATTCAACTAGGAAAGTTTTCTCTTCTGAAGTATAAGTGGAAAACTATAATGGGCAATCAATATCAAATCATCAAAAGGATTTTCATGTCATTTTAATAATCACAAACTCTTATTTACTTAGAAGTCTAAAAGGTAAGGATATGTAGTGACAGATTAAAAGGAGCAGCAATAAGAAAGTAGTAAGTTATTAGCAGTGATTAGAAGAGAAGCTCAAAATATTGGCAAGACTACAAAGACAAAGTGGGGATTTCCTAAAAGTTCCTCATCACCACAACTATTTGCTGAGCACTGAGAACTGAGCCAGTTAAAAGAAAACCAAGCACAATTTCTAATACTAGAAAATTTATGCAGAGATGGAAACACCCCTGGTGATGAGCCACTACAATGTTATAAAAACATCTAATGGTAAAATAAATAAATAAATAAGGAATGAAATAGATAAAACACAAAAATTGTTCAAATGACACCGAGAGAAGCATTTTTGTCAGGCAATAATGCAACTTTGAAGAAACTCTGAATGAGATTTTGAGATAACGAAACGTTATGAGGAAATATATTACCAATACTCTGTTTCCAATATAAAGCAAATATAAGTATTGGTTTTTAGTGGAGAAGAGCTCTTGTGTCTTCTCAAACTTACCAGTTATCCACTGAAAATCATCCTTTGCTATTTTTTTTTATAATTCCCCACAGCCAAGCTCCAACAACCAATGCACGAAGTTAGCTTGTATGAATAATATATATATCACAAAAGAGAGGATCAGCAGATGGACGGCTGGCATAGCACCCCTTACCCTACTTGATTCTGTACATATGCCATCTCTCTTCTGCAGTGACTCACTATTACTAGGTTTGGATGGGCTAGTTAGATGACATGACATAACAATTCAGGCTTCAGGTTTCACTTGAACACGTCTAAGTCTAAAGTTGGAGATTGGTATATGGAGGATACATATACTCATGCCCTACACACCCAGGCAGACACCTGAAGTTAGTTAAGGTAGCATTTTTAGGGATTTTTTTTCTATAAATAAAATCATTAAAACATTCCCTCTTTCCCTTCCTCTAGATCTGCTGAAAAGACCTGAGGTTAAAGGCAGGGCTTAAGATACCGCTGATTCTGAGACGTTTCCCTCTGGATCTGTATTGTACTTGAGAGCAGGATTCCCTCTGATTCTCAACACCAAACAGTTGAGTTAAAATAGCCAGCAGTTTATTGAAGATAGTAGAAGCCAAAGCAATAAAAGTAATCCACAGTAAAAAGGCAAATCCAATTGATTAGGAAGTAAAAAGAGCAATAAATCCACAGAGAAACAGTCCAAGAAAGGACATTATACCAAAGGCTTGATTTCAAAGGCAAAACAACAGCAAAGGCACTTAAACAAAAATCAAACAAAGACCAAGGTCCAGGAACATGGCATGGAGAACTATTTGTGAATCCAACATTGCTTTGTCTGAAAGTTAGACTCCATACTTGCACTATATATCTACTTTGATTCCCAAACAGCTAGAAATTGCTTTTTCCTTAGTTTTGGTTTCTCTATTAGCTTCTGCTCTAATCTGGCTGAGCGCCTTAGTTTCTGGTTTGTTTGTCTCTGTTGGCTATAAGCTCTTCGTCTGTTTAAGGCTTCATTAAAATTTGCACCTGGAGATAACTGACCCTGGGACTGAGGTTTAAGGCAGGGCTTAAGATACCACGGATGGGGACTGTCTCCCCATATACAGCCTGGTGACGTCGCTGTTTTCTTGGCTCTGATTGACCCTCCTCATCCTCCTCTGAGACATGCAGAAGGCTGCATGAACAAAGCCATGCAGCCCAAAACCCAAACAAAACAATTGTAACTGTGCAACTTTCTCTTCATTTCACCCCTTCTTCTGTACAAAAATGAGATTTTTGTTTCATGCCATCTGAATGGACAGTATGAAATGAAAACCTGAATGAAACAAATTAGACAAATACAGGGCCCATGTCTAGTTCAGGCAATCACAAAAGCCCCCCCCCCCAATGCTTTCTAGGATGTTCACATGAATTCAGTAGGAGCCCCTGGATAAACCCTTGTGCTGACAGGGCTGCTGATCAACAAGTTGGCAGTTCGAATCCAGAGAACGGGGTGAGTTCCAATCTTTTTTTAAAAGATGTTTCCCAAAAGACCTGTAGGTTTTTTTTTAGAGACCGGGCTGTGGTGCAGCTATTTAGTAGCCAGCTGCATTAAATTACTACTGGTCATGAGTTCGAAGCCAGCCTGGATCAGAGTGAGCTCCTGGCCATTAATAGTCTAGCTTGCTGTTGACCTATGCTTTTTAAAAACATATTTTATTATGCTATAAACACAAATCAGCAAACCATATTCGAAGTGTTACAAGTATAGATCCTGAGTAGTTCAACAAATATTAATGGCATTATGCTAATTTACACTGGTGTGTTGTTGTTGTTCATTCGTTCAGTCATCTCCGATTCTTCGTGACCTCATGGACCAGCCCACGCCAGAGCTCCCTGTCGGCCGTCACCACCCCCAGCTCCTTCAAGGTCAGTCCAGTCACTTCAAGGATGCCATCCATCCATCTTGCCCTTGGTCGGCCCCTCTTCCTTTTGCCTTCCACTTTCCCCAGCATAATTGTCTTCTCTAGGCTTTGCTGTCTCCTCATGATGCGGCCAAAGTACTTCAACTTTGTCTCTAGTATCCTTCCCTCCAATGAGCAGCCGGGCTTTATTTCCTGGAGGATAGACTGGTTGGATCTTCTACCAGTCCAAGGCACTCTCAGAACTTTCCTCCAACACCACAGATCAAAAGCATCGATCTTCCTTCGCTCTGCCTTCCCTAAGGTCCAGCTCTCACATCCGTAGGTTACTACAGGGAAGACCATGGCTTTGACTAGGCGGATCTTTGTTGCCAGTCTGATGTCTCTACTCTTTACTATTTTATCGAGACTGGACATTGCTCTCCTCCCAAGAAGTAAGCGTCTTCTGATTTCCTGGCCACAGTCTGCATCTGCAGTAATCTTTGTGCATAGAAATACAAAGTCTGTCACGGCCTCCACATTTTCTCCCTCTATTTTCCAGTTGTCAATCGTTCTTGTTGCCATAATCTTGGTTTTTTTGATGTTTAGCTGTAACCCCGCTTTTGCGCTTTCTTCTTTCACCTTGATTAGAAGGCTCCTCAGCTCCTCCTCGCTTTCGGCCATCAGAGTGGTGTCATCTGCATATCTGAGGTTGTTAATGTTTCTTCCAGCAATTTTTACCCCAGCTTTGCATTCATCAAGCCCCGCACATCGCATGATGTGTTCTGCATACAAGTTAAAAAGGTTGGGTGAGAGTATGCAGCCTTGCCGTACGCCTTTCCCAATCTTGAACCAGTCTGTTGTTCCGTGGTCAGTTCTTACTGTTGCTACTTGGTCCTTGTACAGATTCCTCAGGAGAGAGACAAGGTGGCTTGGGATGCCCAGACCACCAAGAACTTGCCATGATTTATTATGATCCACATAGACAAAGGCTTTAGAATAGTCAATGAAACAGAAATAGATTTTTTTTTCTGAAACTCCCTGCCTTCCTCCATTATCCAGCGGATATTGGCAATTTGGTCTCTCGTTCCTCTGCCTTTTCTAAACCCAGCTTGAACATCTGGCAACTCTCGCTCCATGTATTGCTGGAGTCTTCCTTGCAGGATCTTGAGCATTGCCTTACTGGCATGAGAAATAAGGGCCACTGTACGGAAGTTTGAGCAGTCTTTCGCATTTCCCTTTTTTGGTATGGGGATATAAGTTGATTTTTTCCAGTCTGATGGCCATTCTTGTGTTTTCCATATTTGCTGGCATATGGCATGCATCACCTTGACAGCATCATCTTTGAAGATTTTAAACAGTTCAGCTTGGATCCTGTCTTCTCCTGCTGCCTTGTTATTAGCAATGCTTCTTAAGGCCCATTCAACCTCACTCCTCAGGATGTCTGGTTCTAATTCACTCACCACACCATAAAAACTATCCTCGATATTATTATCCTTCCTATACAGATCTTCTGTATAGTCTCGCCACCTTCTCTTGATCTCTTCAGCTTCTGTTAGGTCCCTGCCATCTTTGTTTCTTATCATACCAATTTTTGCCGGAAATTTACCTCCAATGTTTCTAATTTTCTGGAAGAGGTCTCTTGTCCTTCCTATTCTGTTGTCTTCTTCCACTTCCATGCATTGCTTATTTAAAAATAGTTCCTTATCTCTTCTGGCTAACCTCTGGAATTGTGCATTTAATTGGGCATATCTCCCCTTATCACTGTTTCCTTTTGCTTTCCTCCTTTCTTGGGCTACTTCCAGTGTCTCAGCAGACAACCATTTTGCCTTCTTGGTTTTCTTTTTCTTTGGGACGTACTTTGTTGCCGTCTCCTGAACAATGTCGCGGACTTCTGTCCATAGTTCTTCTGGGGACTCTGTTTACTAAATCTAGTCCCTCAAATCTGTTCTTCACTTCCACTGTATATTCGCTAGGAATGTTAGTGAGATCATATCTAACTGGTCTGTGTATTTTCCCTGATCTCTTTAGTTTTATTCTAAATTGGCAATAAGAAGTTCGTGATCTGAGCTACAGTCAGCCCCAGGTCTTGTTTTCACCGACTGGATGGATGTCCGCCACCTTTGGCTGCAAAGGATGTAGTCAATCTGATTTCGGTGTTG